TTTGGTCAGTGTTAGAGCAGTACGACAATGGAACCGGTTGCTTCAGCCGGAGGTGGTGGGCGCTCCAAGGCTGGAGGCCTTCAAGATCAAATTGGGCGACCCTCGGTCAGATCTGCTTTGATTTGGATTCCTGCCTTGAGCCCGGGGGTTTGCACACGATGGCCCTAGAGGATCTTCCCTACTCTGCTGGCCTATGATTTCCCACCTTTTGGGATTGCACGGAACCCCTAGAATGATAGGCTGTGGAAATCGGGACGTGGCCAGCCGGCATCCTCCTTCGTGGCTAATTGAGTATTGCTGTGATAAATTGTTGGATGTAGGAGATTAGGGGTAGGTGGGGGGAGAGAGACTGCAAGAATGAGGTGTCAGTTAAGGAATGGAAATTTGTAACCTCCCCTTTTTGGGCTGTGTTACAGACACTTGTGTTGTCACACCGAAGTTGCCCTGATGCATTCAGGGAGCAGTCGAGTCAGTTAAGCAGACAGAGACACCCGGTGCTCAAGAGGCTCTCACCTTTTGGAGGGGCTCAAGGAAGAGGCCTGTATCCCAACAGCCTCCTTAGCGAAAACAGACCCACTGAACTGACAAGACTTCAACAAATGTTCAGTTTCTTCCCCCCTCCCCATTCAGATGTTAATTCATTCTGGCTGGATTTAGGCTTTGACCCTGACCCCAAGAGGATGGCCCAAAGACAAGGGGTGCAGGTCTGGAGCCCACAGAAACCTCTTGCAGGTCGTTGATCGTCCGTAGACTTGTGGAATTTTTTGACTCATCTCAGAGCTGCTGCAGATTTCACAGAAGCTCGCCTTGACGGAACTCTCTCTCCCCCCGGCTGCTTTGCAGGGTCGAGAAGCTGGAGAACGAAGCCAAGGGTAACCAGGACAAGTTTGAGGAGATCACCTCCAAGTGGGCGGCGGCCAAGGAGAAAACGATCCCCCAAGACCTCTGGGACAGGCTCAATCAGCAGCAGCTGCTGTGCGCCCTGCTGATCGAGGAGAAGAACAAGCTCATCAGCGAGCTGCAGCAGGTGATCACCGCCCGTGGAGGGGCAGAGGGGGTGGCAGGAGGGCGAGGAGGACCTGGAATCGGCAGCAAAGAGCTTCAGAGGGGTTGAGCTCACTGTCACCTAGCAGTTGCCCAGCAGGTCCTTCAGAGGGATCTCATCTTCTGGGAGCACCTGAGGCCTGGGACACGGATGGGCACCGCGTAGCCCACCATCTCTATGTAGCCCCCGCCTCCTGGATTTTGGATGCATTCCTCTGCCTCCCAAAGCATTGCCATATCCTTAAAACGTGTTCCACATTTTTTAAACTTAAGTTGGCCTGTAGAGGCTACAAGGGAGCCTTTTGGGTAAGAAAAAATTGGGGTGGGGGGAGGTCACCAGAGTGGTTGTAGGCCTTTGTGGCCCAGCGACAGGCGGGTGCTGTCCCTGGACCTCCGGCGTTTGCCATCCTTTCTTCTTGGGATGCTCGATCTTGCTCCTAAGCCTGCAATCACGAGGGTGACCAGGTGGCTTTGGTCTGGGACCAACCCTCCCTCCCCTGATTCACAGAGCGGAGGTGCCCAGGGGAATTCCTCCAGGCTGGAGAAATCCGGTGGCCGAGCGTGGCCGCCCCTGAGGGACCCTTGCGGAGGGGTTCCAAAGGCCGGCTCGGAGAGGGGAGGAAAACACAACGCTGCCTCTGTGCTCTTTGGGTTTCAACAGCAGCCGCCCTCTCAGCTCGATGCTTGAAGGCCGGGGGTGTGTGTGTGTGCTCTGGGTTGACTCTGGGTTGCCCCCCCCCCGTGTTGACATACACACATACATATTCGTGTAGTGTGGCTGAAATCCTGTTGTTCTGCGTAGTAAGGGGCAGTACAGAAGGTCCATTGGATTAGTCGGGAGGTGGTGAGTCAGCTCCTCTGTTGGTTCAAATGGGCCTACTCGAGTTGTGTCTTACACCACTAAAGTGAATCACAACTCAAGTAGGCCCGTTTGAATCATTGGAAATCAACAGAGGAGTTGAGTCCCTGAAGCTTCACTGATTCAGTGGGCCTACTCTAGTGTAATTTACTACACTAAGTGACCCAATTTCAGCCTCTTTATCAAAATATTACTCCTCTTCTGTATCAGAAAATGCTCAGGGCAGTTTGAATTTTGTGGATTGTTTGCTTTTCCCCTCCGACCTTCGAATCTGATGCCGTCTCTGGTTAAGGAAGGATCCTGAAGAACTCAAAAGTGTGCTGCGTTCTTAATGTTTTAGTAAATGAATAAAGAAGCGAATGATGATTTTTGTTTTTCCATTTCAGTTGCACAGCTACTTTTCTTCTGACCTTTGCCTTTTCTGCCTTCTAGGAGCTGAAGAGCAAAGATGACCAGTATGTGAAAGATCTCAGGAGGCAAGCGGAGGACATCAATTTGCTGCTGGAACGGATGGAAGAGCAGATCCGAAACCTCTTGAAGAATTGCCGCCGGGAGCTCCTGCAGATTGAGGTATTCCTTCTGCCCCCCCCCCTTTCCTAGTACACGGTGGTTCTCCTGTCTTGTGTGTGTATTGCAAAATGTCAGCCAAGGAATAAAAAAAGCCTGAAGAGTCAGTAACAGAATGCCTGCGAGTTAATGAGGTTTGTTTTCCTTGGTTTGGTTCGGTTTTGTTTATCTGTTAATGTTCGTCGTTCATCGTGGCTGACAAAACAGATACAAAATTCATTGGGACAAAGAGACTGAAAATAACAAATAAAAGACTTTGAAATGAAGAAGACAAGTGCAGAAGCCACAGGGTTTCACCCTGTGAAGAGTAGACGGGTTGAACTCTGCTTTGGAAGGTTAAGCAAGGAGAGGACCAAAGGGACAGCATCATTGCAGAAGGAGTTCCCTGGTCTTGTAACCATCGCTGAGAAGGGCCCGCCTGTCCCAGTGGGCATATTTGAGCTGGATCCGTGGGGGTGGGCCTCTGTGGGTTGTCACATCATAGGACTGCCCCTCCTCTCCATAATGCGGTGTGTTCTGTGTAGATTTACTGAAGAGGAGATACCACTCTGGATACAGAAAGATACGAGGAGATGGTTGGATTCTGAGTCATATCATATGAGAATATGCTTAGCCACTGAAGTCCTTTGTGCACTAAGTGACGGGGCTGTATCTGACCATCTCCTCCTCTTGGTTCACGCACAGATGTGCCCGTTCGGTTTTGCAACACGGCTGACTTCCAGGCAGTGGGCAGAGGCTCCTCCATTCCCCCCTCTCTTTTCCAGAAAGCCTTTGAATTAGAGCGCCGTGAACTCCTCACAAACAACAAGAAGAAATGGGAGCAGGGTATGCAGACTCTCAACCGGCAGGAGGTAAGGAGCGTGTACCTGTCCACATGCACGCCGGATCATGCCGAAAGATGCCGATGCTGCTCCACCGGGCAGGCCATTGCACAGCTTGTGAGCTAGGAGGGTCCCTCGTGGCAGGAGCCTTTTCCCCTCCAGACTGTCCAAGCCAAAGGAATCACATCCTATTGTACTCTTAAGAATAAGGGCAATGTCTGCGTGAGACCCGCGTCTCTGTGTTCAGGAGAGAAGCCCTCCTGGAGGAGCGACCGGCCAAGAAGGCAGCATTCCGTTTCAGATTTCATGCCAAGGCGATCTGTGGCAGAAATGTCTCCTTTGCTCTGTAGCTGAAGGTGGGAGGGAGGTCTCTTGGGTTGGGAGTTGTAGACTTCCCATCTCACCAGGGGTTAGAGGACATGGCTGCCCAACTCTGTTTGCCGAATCTAGAGGTCAATGGCTTCCCTTCGGCTGGAGTCAAGGCAAAGGAGCCAAAGGCCAGCTCTCTGCCTTTGATTCAAGCCTTGTCCTCTATTTCCCTTTTCTCCTAGCTGGATTTCATGATGGCCCGCCTGAAGAAGGTGGAGGAGTACGAGCGGGAGCTGAACCAGCTGCGGGTGCAAGACGCGGAGGAGTACAACGTGATCAAGATCAAGCTGGAGCATGATGTGCAGGTGTGTGTGTGTGTGTGTGTGTGAGAGAGAGAGAGAGAGAGAGAGAATCTCACCCAGCTGTGCAGGACGTGGCCAAGCGGGTTCAAGCTGGAGCATGATGTGCCGGTTGGGGTCAGAGTGGACTCCTTGCCCTGAGGAATGGAGGGAAGTGTGTGTGTGTGTGTGTGTGTGTGTGTGTGTGTGTGGGTCAGAGCGGACTCCTTGCCCTGAGGAATGGAGGGAAGAGGGTGTGTGTGTGTGTGTGTGTGTGTGTGTGTCAGAGTGGACCCAGTGGACCCAGCTGTGCAGGACGTGGCCAAGCGGGTTCCCTAGCCATGGTTGCCCGGCAGATTTCAAGAAGGCCTGACGTCATAAAAGAGAAGGCTAAGAGACCAGGTTCACTTTGTTGGCCCTGCTGTGCCATGAAAACGTGTGCGGACTCCTGACCTGTAGGACAGGAAGACGTGAGCCTCGTGTGCCCTTGATCAGCTGTCCCGTTGCCTTCCTGAGCATGGATGGCGATGCCTCTGCCTAGGTTGGAGGGTTCGCTCCCTCAGGGTCCTGGCGCACCTCGAGAGCAACCCCTTGGCAGCAGAGTGTTCTCTCTCCAGAGTTGTCACCCTGAATACGTAGAAGGGCAGAAAACCTAGGGGTGGGGAACCAGGGCAGGGCTATAGAGTCATCCAGACTCGTGTACAAATCTCCTGGGCCGTTCATAAACTTGCCTGGGGCTACAACTGTCGTGTCTCCACATGATTTGGGAATCCCTTCTTGGCTTCCCCAGCCGGGAAAAGGACTTTGATGCTCCCATTATTCCACTGAACATACCAAAAACTGCATGAATGAGACACCCCACCCACCCCCAAGACTCGGGCTTTAATTCCAACCTGGAGACTTCTGTTTTCGGGGACTGCCCTCTTGAGCTACCCACGCATGTTGTTTGGGAGGACTCTCATGGGCCAAAAGAGAAGGTGGCGGCCCCTCCTTGCTTGGTGTCGCAGAGTTCGTGGCCGATCTCCAGTTAGGGCCAAGTGCTGAGTGGGATTGGCTCGGTGGCCCTGGCTGATTCTTCACTGCCCCGTCTTTTCCCCTCGGGCTGACAGATCCTGGAGCAGCAGCTCCAGCAAATGAAAGCCATCTACCAGCTGAACCAGGAGAAGCTGGAGTACAACTTCCAGGTGCTGAAGAAGCGGGACGAGGAGAACACGATCATCAAATCCCAGCAGAAGCGGAAGCTCAACCGGTGAGCAAGCATGGGGTCCCCACCCCACACCCCCTCTCTCGGGCTCCTCCTCCTATCCCTGCTAGGTGGAAGGGGAGGTTGGCACAAGTCCCATGGTGGGCGATAGCACAGGACTCACAACATGCATGCCCAGAGACATTTCTACATGTTCATCTGGGCCGTGTGAAAATCTGGAGGGTGATGTGGACCCCCAGAGAGGTTTCAAAGCCAAATTCAGCCAGGGTTCAAAGGTGTGGAGGGTTTTTTATAAATCAGAGCTCCGTCCGGCTCTTGTGTGGCAGCTTGGGCTCTTCCTTCCCTGTCCGTTTAGTGGGTTGACGGGTGCTTCATCTATTGCTGCTGCTGCTTTTCTGAAGGTCACCCATCTCACTCCCCTCTTCCTCCAGGCTGCATGATGTGCTCAACAACCTGCGCCAGAAATTGGCCAGGCAGATCAAGCAGTACCGCGAGGAGAACCTGGCCCTGTCTGCCGACTACAAGCGGATTGTGGAGCAGTACAAGGACCTGCAGAGGACCATGAGGTGCAGATGGCCGTGGCCGGGGAGCTCTAGAGGGGAGGAAGGGAGAAGAGCCCTTTGGGCGGGTGGGTCTGTTTGGCCCAGGGACTTGGCAGCCTCTTTCAGTTCTAACGTGGTGGGGGATTGTTAATGTTTTAATAGAATCACAGAATCATTAAAAAGTGGAGTTGGAAGGGCCTCGAAGGCCATCCAGTCCAACCCCATGCTCAAGGCAAGAATCCAAATTAAAAGAAATCTGGCAGGTGGCGGTCTAGGTTTCTCCAGCCACCCTGCTCAAGGCAAGAATCCAAATCAAAAGAGATCTGACAGATCTGGCGGTCTAGGTTTCTCCAGCCTTGGAGCGTCCACCACCTCCCCTTGAGGTCATGGGTTCCATTGTCATACTGCTCGAACAGTTAGGAAGCTTTCCCTAAATCTTGCTTCCAGAGCGTCCACCACCTCCCCTTGAGGTCATGTCGTACTGCTCAAACAGTTAGGAAGCTTTTCCTAAATCTTGCTTCCAAGTCCATGGTTGCGTGTCCGCCAGTCTAGGATGACTGAGAACAGATCCTGCCCTTCCTCTGTAGGACAACCTTTCAAGTCTTTGGAAAGTGCCATTCTGTCTCCCTTTAGTCTTATTTTCTCAAGGCTAAACAGGCCCAGTTCTTTCAGTCTTTCCTCCTAGGACTTGGTTTCCAGTCCCCTGATCCTCCTTGTTGCCCTCCTCTGAACTTGCTCCAGTTCCAGCATCCTTCTTCACATCTGGTGTCCAGAATTGTATATAGGACTGCAAAAGAGGTGTAACTAGTCCTGGAGTATTCTAAGTATCTTAATTCTATGATTGTTTCAATGATCTGTGAGCTGTTTGGGGTCTTGCCACCTGGAGGAAAGGCAGCGTACAAGTGCAATTACTTACTTACTTAATTCCAATACTAGATCTCAAAAAAAGTTGAGGACCTATGCTTTCCAAAACCAGATATAGGACGGTGGTGAGGTGACATTGTCGGTGACTTGACAGTCCTTCCCCAAACTTCAGACGGGGGTTTGACCAGTCCAGGTTGGGCTTTGGGATCAAGGGCTGCTCATCAGGAGGCCTGCACCTCTATGGAGGGACCTGCAGACTTCATATCTATGCTCCCTCCATTGCCATGAGTATTAGTAAAGCATACATAGCGTCGGTTATGTATATGGAGCATATGCTGTATATATATACTGTATATAGTATTTTAGATTAGGCATCCTTCAGTTTCGAGAGACTATGGTAACGTGCTCTGCATGGAGGACTTGGGACAGCGTCTGGTGTTGCTGAGGAGGCCAATTCGAGAGTGACCATCCCTTCCACAAGGAAGACAATCTGTTCCCTGTTCAGCTCCCGAATTTGGCTGGTTTTGGGACTGCCGCTTGGCCTCGGCCTGCTGGACAAGGGTCTCTTCAAATTGGGAGAGGCTGTGATGCACCGCCTGCCTCCAGGCTGAATGCTCGGATGTCAGGGTTTCCCATCTGTTGAGGTCCATTCGTAAGGCCTTCAGGTCCCACTTGCAGCTATCCTTGTATCGCAGCTGTGGTCTCCCTCTGGGGCAATTTCCCTGCACTCATTCTCCATCCAGGAGATGTTTTGGAATCCAACCATCAGCCGTTCTCACGACATGCCCAAGCCAACATAGACGTCACTGTTTCAAAAATGTGTACATGCTAAAAATTCCAGCTCGTTCCAGGATTACTTTATTTGGAACTTTGTCCTGCCAGATGATACCAAAAATGTGTCAGAGGCATATATATATAGAGGCATATATAGAGAGAGTATAGCACCTATATATATGAGCACTTATTGGCTGCTATGTGATGCTGGGCTAGGTCTTTTTTAGGCTGGATCCAACTCCTGGGCTGCTTGGAGGTGCCTGGGACTTTTGTCACGCAGAGCTGAGTTATATGGCTGTTGGGAGCAGCTTCCTGATGTGAGCATAGGGACCTGCGTGCATGCGTGCTTGTGTGTTTTGCAAATCCTTCCCCTGCCCCCAACTTTTTTCTTTGCTCCTTCAGGCACTTTGCCATCGTGGACTGGGAGCAGCTTCCTGATGTGAGCATAGGGGCCTGCGTGCGTGCGTTTGTGTTTTGCAAATCCTTCCCCTTCCCCCAACTTTTTCTCTCGCTCCCTCAGGCACTTTGCCATCGTGGATGCGGAGCACTTCCTGGCCGTGTGGCTCATGAATGAGGAGGAGGCCAAAGAGCTGATCCGCAAAGCCTTGGACGCCGACCGTGTCATCCACGCCCAGCAGCTGGGCTTGCCCTACGTTGAGCCGGACGGCTGGTTCCTGCACAACGTGGGGCCCATCGTCCACCACCAGAGGAAGAAGTCGGCCCACGAGCTGGCCCAGGAGCTGATCGCCCCAGAGAGTAAGCCAGGCGTCCCTCCCAGTCTTGGGCCAAGGGCTTGTGAGTCTGTGTGCATGTGTGTGTGTGTGTTCCTTTTACGCAAGAGGCCTGTTTTCTAGCCCTGCAGTTCAGAAGCTCCAACGCTGAAGTCTGAGTTATGTAAACTTCTTTAAAAATATATATATATTAGACAATCACGTTACAGACAGATAATACAATTAACTATTCATCTTGCATACTAAATATTTTAACATTCTAAACACCGGCTATTCACACCATTTAACAAAATTGCCCTTAATCTTGAATCCCCATTCCATCTTAGAAAATTATCAACCAGCAATCTGAGCAATCTAGATTATTTCCTACATCATGTGACTTCTCATTGAGTGAATTGGTGTATTTTAAGAAAGGTTTCCTAGTTTCGAAAATGGACTTTGCTTTATTTCTCCCCTGTCTATTCTGATCTTACTGGTCAATTTCTCCATCAAGAGTGTTTATCAAATGTCTGCAGTGAAAGATATTGGCCATTTTTCCAGCTTTTAGCAATGTCACACCTTGCGGTCCCTACAATATTTGCTATTAGGTCTTTATTAAGTAGCTTCTCATTTCCCCCTGTAAATGCTGAAAATAATAGTAAAGTTTCATTAGCGATTTTTGATCAGTCACTATTTCTGTCCAACAGATTATGTCAATACAAAACGCTTCTATTTGGGGGTAAAAAATCCACAGGTGCTCCACAACATCTCCAACACTTATCTGATATATCCCGGTTGATTTTATGTAGCTTTGTAGAGTATAGATGCACTCCGTGAACAACTTTCAGAACCGTTTCTGAGTTATCTAAACTGAAGTGGTTTGCAAAATTGCTGCTGCAGAATTGATTCTGCTTCCAGAATTTGAAACACTGAGGTTTCTTTGGTGCATGAGAGGTTGCTGAAAATGAGGGAGAGGAGGGTGTACAGAGAGCAGCGTGCAGACTCCAGCCAGGCTTCTGTCAGAAACAAGAGAGAAAAACGTGCAATTCTTTCCCCCAAACAAGCACAGCAGAACCTAAGATTTTCAGCACACAGAATTCTTCTATCAAGGTGGTCCTTGACAAGCAGAATTGGCAGCTGATGGCCTTGTTTCTCAAGCAGCGCGTTCTGTGTAAAAGCTTTGGTTTCTGCTTTCATTGGGTGCTTGAGTCCCTCCTCCTGCCTGTTGGAAGCCCTCACCAACCTGCCCCCTTTCCTTCCTGAAGTCCCGTCTGATGTTGCTGATGTGTTTCAAGGGTGGCTGGAATTGGCTCCTGCTTAAAAGTCTGTGCTCTTTCCCACAGCGACCAAATCCCCCAAAGAATTCGCCTCGCCGTCAGAGAGAGGCCCAGAAGAGAAGGTGTCTGCGGCTGAGGACAGCGGCCGGGAAGCGCCGTCTGCAGAGCCGGAGACCAAGGCGCTGTGGTCTGTCTCGGCCAAGACGGTCAAGCGCATTTTGGAGCTCCTGTGCGATGAATCTGTGAGTTGACTGGCAAAGGGAATGGACAGGGTCGCAGGGCACAATGGTGGCCGGGCAGGCGCTGAGACCTTAAACCACTATGACCTCCTCCATGCCCCCCTGTATCAAACTGCAGGCTAGGGGGCTTGGCTAGAACAGCGGTGGCTTAGCCTCAAGGCAACCCTCTGCTTCCTTCTTTCCTTCCTTCCTTCCTTCCTTCCTTCCTTCCTTCCTTCCTTCCTTCCTTCCTTCCCAGGGCTTCCTGATAGAGAGCAAGCTTCGGGGACTCCTCCAGCCCTTGGAGAGACCGGACCAGACCCTCATGAAACTGGACTCCATCTTCACCGTGAGTGGGGCCTTCTCTTTCTCAGGCAGCTTGGCAAGAAAGCTCGTCCTGCTGGCAGGGCTGGCTCTATGATGTCCGAGTGGCCTCTTCCGGCCGGAAGCACTCTCTGGAAAGTGCCCAGGATCCAAAGTGGAGGGTTGAGGGGATGAGACCCAGGGGTGGTGGAAGTCTGCTGAAGACCTGGGGCCCAGGTTTGACTCAGGATTGTTTGGTCGGGGTGTTTGATCCAGGCTGAATTCCACTGCTCAGCAAGCCTTCTCTGTTGCTTTGCGCTCCTCTGTGCAGTGGTCACCCTGGAATGGTGAAAGCCAGCCCTGGAGCGTTGCGGTCTAAATAAAGGGAAACCCTCTGAGTCTTGGCGCCTTGGCAGAGGATAAAGGCCCTGTTTCCTTTGGCTGCACTACTTGGGAGCTGGACTTTAGAGAGCCCTTCCCTTGCTTCTCTTGAGGAGGTCTTGAGCAGCTCCAGTAGAGATGCATGGGGTAAAAGGAATAGGTTGCAGAGCAGAGTGGATGAGGAGCCAAACCTGCTTCTTGATCCAGAAGACGGAAGGATTACGCCAAGGCTGTGCGTGTGTATGAGAGAGGGATGAAGTGCTTACAGTACGCACACAAACACACACACTGATCTCTCTGGAGTCCCTCTGGCTGCCACCTACACCCATAGAGTGTTACTAAACTTGTGGATGATGTTGGGGTGGGATGATTCCCCTCCCCTCCGAGAGGGCGGCGGAGGAGGAGGAGGTCCTGCCACGTGCCTGGAAACTGGGTGTCCTCGCAGGATGCTGGCCAGAGAGGAGCTCTCCTTCCCCAGGTGTGCACAGCCACCCCACCCTCGGGTGGAACAGGCCTCTCCAGACATCCCCCCAGGTCCGCCTCGTAAGATGCCCTGCTGGTCTTTGATGGTGCTCTTTTTCCTTCCTTCCTTTCTCCCGACTGGCGGTTCTGTGTCCTTTGGTGAGGCCACAGCGGGCTCCCTAGGAGCCCATGGTGGCCACTGATTGCCATAGATGGCTCGGGGGCCTCCTGTTTTCCCCAGGGTGGAGGGAGGTGTGCCTCTCCCCTTTTTTCGAGTTGATCCAGAAAGAGCAGGACAGCTGCTCTGGTGAAGGCCGGCCTGGGCCACAGACGGGACCCGCAAAGGGCATCTGCCGTGATGACCCCAGAGCTGCCTTCTCTCCTCTCCAGGCCCTGCTGATCGACAGCGAAGACGACGTCCACCGAATGGTGGAGTTCTTCCTGCGTTTCAAGGCTCAGCAGGTGGCCTCTGGGCAGGTACTTAGTTCATGGATGGATTTGTTGCTTTGAAATATTTTTACCAAACCCCCCTTTCCACTTCCTCCTTGAAAGGCAAGCACACGCTGGGGCTTGACCTCAACCAAACGTCAGTCAGCCCGAACCAGGCCAAGGGTTGAAAAGTCTCGGGCTCCCTCGTTACTTCGCTGCAGTGTCCTAGCCACTAGGCCAGAGTCCGCCTGCCTGCCTGCTGTGAGATCTGTCTCTGGGCAGATCTGGCTGTGGCCCACAACAGGCTTTGCTTAGCCGCCCTGCCGCTCTGCCCTCGATGAAAGGTGGCCTCCCTCTGGCGCTGGGGATGCCCATATTGGGGGACACCCCTCCTTTCTACTTCTCCTTCTCCCCATTCACCCAAACACATGACGTTCGTGAACACGTCGTTTGCAGGCGTGACCCCGATGTCTAGATCTGTGCGGTCTTTTTGGTGCTTTGTTTAAAACCCAAACTTGGTTTTCTCTTTTCTCCCCATTCATGCGCTTTGTCTGTTGCTTTTCTGCCATCTCCCCTCGTAAGCCTCCACTCCGCCCCTGTTGTAACTCCCCAGGGTAAATAAAAGTCTCCCCAACTTTTTCCTTTGTCTCTTAGAAAGGAGAAGCGGCACCGGGGGACGCTGCTCCCAGAGAGGCACCCTTAGAGGCAGAAGCGGCACCAGCCACCGAAGAAGAGGCCTGTGGGGTTCCACCAAAGGAGGGCCAAGGGCCCGTGGGCTCAGTGGCCTCCCCCTCCGCTGTCTACATGCACCCGAATGACATTCTCAAGGCCCTGAAGGCTTTTGTGCAGGCCTTCTGGGAGCTGAGGTGGGCCTCTGGCCAGGGTCCGGTTATGGAGTCAAGGGGGAGGAGGAGGAGGAGGAGGAGGAGGAGGAAGGCTGCTTTTCCTCCTCAAGGGCATATCAATCCTCCCGCCCTTGCCCCACTCCAGACATGGCGGTCCTGATCCAGGTGGGTCAGGGGCAGCGGTGGGGTGGCTTTTGTGCAGGATTTTCGACCCCTTTTCCAGCAGGACCTGTGCTGTGCTTTCGGAAGCTGCCAGAGGGTTGAACGTATTTAGTTCTGTGGGGTTTTGTGGGGTTTAGGTTTTAACCTGCAAACCATCCAGAGTAGTAGACCTGTGAAGATTCTCCGTCGTCCCAAGGGGTCATCTGGAGGTTGAGTCCCAGCCGCTGGACTTCTTTCTTTCTTCGAGGGTTGAAACGTTTCCTTGCTGAAGACGCGACTTGGATGAGTAGAGACACGTTTCGACCTAAAACGGAAAGAAAGAAGTCTAGCTGGCAGGACTCAGCTTCCAGACACCCAGAGCAGTGCTTGCAGTCATGGGTCGATCTATCCATCCATCAGTCAGTCAGTCGGTCGGTCAATCAATCAATCAATCAATGAAAGAGCTGCGTTTGGTGCTCAGCAAAGTGGCAGCTCTCAGTGAGGTTTGGCCTCCCCGCTGGGTGAACCAGCCAGATAACATCCGTTAGCGGCGCAGGCAGTTGGGTGCACTCAGAGGGCACACTGGGAGGACGCACTGCTCTGACAGTCCAGTTGGACGGGAGGGTCAAATGTGCTGGGAAGGTGGCCTGCCTCCGGTCCAGGGTGTAGCCGCCAGCCATCCTCTTCCCGCTTCGCCCCCTCCCCAGGGATCAACGGCCCCCAGTGAAGAAAACACGCGAAGAACGGGACGACTCCAAGGACTCCGAGTATTGGGACGCTCTGGCCCACGTCATCTCGGGTGGAAAAATGAAGCTCTGGGATGCCCTGATCGTGGGCTTGCAGAAATACCAGTAAGTGGCGGGGCCTCTTGCTCTTGAAGGAAGAGGGTGGGGGAGGCTGGACCGAGCAAGGCATCCCCCATAGATGCTGCCCTGGCGCCTCCCGATTTCTCTCCAAACCGGCTCCTTGCCCAAATGCCTGTGCCCAGGGTGACCCCCAGTGGCGAGAGGGGGGAATGTTGAGCCATCCGGTCCCTGTTTTGAACGGGAGCACAAGCAGAGGCTTGTTGAGATCGGATTCACTTCTTCCCTCATGGCCTTGTCTGAGTCCCATGGCCTCTCTTGCTGAGCTCCAGAGAAGATGGGGTGGGGTGTCAGGCGCTCCCAGCCCTAATAGATCCAGGTACACTTGAGTAGCCAGGGATGATTTCCTGAAAGGTCTTCCCTCTTCTGTGTCTGAGGCCCCCGTGAGTCCTTGCGTCCCATTCTGATGTGTTGTGTCTCCCCTTTTCACCCTCTCTCGCCCTCTCTCTCCTCCCATCCGCACAGCCACATTCTGGACCAGAGGGCAAAGCTGATCACGGAAACGGATGCTCTGCATCAGCAGAACGCCGAGCTCCGGATGTTGCTGCGGCAGTATCTCCAGTCTCCGGTGAGCCAGAGGGGCGAAGTGTGGGTCTGTTTCGGGAGGAGAAGTTGTCTCTTCCTCGGGGACGGGGTGGGGGTGGGGACACATGGCTTGCCCTCTACCTGGCACCGGCCCCAGAAAGATCAGATCCCAGGCGTGCCTTTTCCTGGCTCCAGAGACCCTCACTCCCAACTAGGAAACCTAACGCCCAAGGCGGAGCTGCTTCCTTGTTTGAGGAGATGCAAAACATAAGAAGATATTTTAGCTAAATGTAGTGGCACATCTGTGCCTCCTCATAGCCAAGAGGGAGGGAGGGAGGGAGGGAGAGAGAGAGAGAGAGAGAGGAGTGACGGACCCTCTGAGGGCCTCTTTAGGTCACGTCTTGTGTCCATTTCTGTTTTGTTTCGACTTGACATACCACACCATTGCACTCAATAGATCTCTCTGGGTGGTTGGCAGTGAAATAATGCAAGGAACGTTTTGCCCTCTCCCGAGCTGGGTCGTCATTTTACAGACTGTGCTCACAACCTGAACTCGAACCCAGGTCGTCGCCTCAAGATTCAGCCACCCTTCCATCTTTCTGAGATTGGGAAAACGAGGACCCAGCTCGCTGGGAGGGCCGTGTGCGGCCTGCATCATTCACTTGCCAACACCCAGAGAGTTCTTTTTAAGCACTATGGAGTGATATATAAGCATGTGTGCAGGGTGTGCAGGGTAAGGGGTTCGAGAGAAGGCACAAGCAGAACATTCCCCCATCCCCTCAAATGGTGTCAACTCCAGCTGCTGCTTTGTTTCATGGCCTTTTAAGGGGGAGAAGAAGCCTTGGGTGGGTTGCTTGCTTCTTTCCGAGCCAGGAGCCAGTCCTGTGGTTGCAGAATGTGCACGCGTGTGTGTGCACGCTTTCCCCTCAATAGTAAGGGACGCCCGTTTTGCCTAGCAATGGTTTTTGCAAAGCGTGGAGACTTGGGCGAGGACAATTCAGTGCATCTCCTCTCCTCCTTGCCAAGGGGTGAGGAATTCTGGGTGGCTTGCAAAATTCCTCATTGCGGCTCCTTTGCTGAGACTGCCTGAAAGGGCTAAGAAGCCCTTCGCAAGTGCTGCTTGTCCCCGTAACTTTTCTCCTCCAACGACACGTGCCTGGTTCAGTCCATCCAGGGGCACCAGCACCTCCCTCCAGAATCGAAGCCTGGTGGGGCCGGGGCCACAGTGCGAGTCCTGAGGCCACCTCCGTGAGCAGACTCCTCTCTCTCTAAACCCTCTCTGTGCAGAAGATGCATGGTGGGACGCCAGAAACTGAAGCAAAACCAAGGGCAGCCGGGTGCTCTCTCTGTGCGTGCATTGATGATGCTTGTTCTGGCCTCAGCCTCTCTTGAAGATGGCTTAGCCCTGCTATGGGACACTCTTCAGGAAACATCCCCCAATCAGGAACGGGCTGAGCCCTGGCTGCTGAGCCTTCAGGCTGGGTGTGACGGAGGGCTTGCTCTGGGCTCAGACGGCTGTTTTTTTTCCCCCCCTTGCAGGTCAATGCGGAGCTGCTGATCCCACCCACCCACTTACTGCACCTCCAGATGAACCCCACTTGATGCCTTCCTCCGAGAGATTTAGCAGAGGTTGTGGTTTTCTGAGGGCTCCTCCTCTTTTGCCTCTTTTACACGGAGTCAGGCAGGTTTTGTGTGACTCTGCAGAGGCAGCCCTGGGGAAAGGCGGGCTTCACAGTCCACTCCACTCAACTGTGTTGGAGAGCTTTATTAGGATGATGAGCTGGTGAGTTGCCGGTGGCTGGTAAAAAGGCACAGAGCAGTTCCCTTGCGTGGTCAAGTCAGCCTACCCGTAGGGACCTTTCCGGGAACTGGGGCATCTTAAACCTGCCTTGGGAACACTGATGCACGTCGAGACTGGGATTCAGAGGACCTTGAAGAACCACCATCGGATGTGTTTCAGAGAAGCCGCAAAACACAGTTCTTTCCTCCAGAAAAGTTAACTCCAGTGGAAACCAGAAACCTTTCTCGTGCTGGACACCAAGCCTTTTGAGAAACCTTTTGAAATGTCATAAGAAAGCGAAGGCAAATAAATGGTTCCTTTTAATGTTCAATTCCCTTTGTCTTGTCCTTTCTGTTATATAGGAAAACATAATGAGTCAGTTGAGGGCAAAATTAAGTTATACAGTATATAACGTGTCATTGGGAGAAAGAATTCCTTAACTGCTGAAAGCATCTGAGGGCACAGCAGGACCTTTTCTCACCTCTCTGTCATTCACAAATTGGTTTGAGAACTGTCTTTTGGATTCATTTCAATTGAATTCTATCTCTCCCACAGTCACACACTCTAATCATAGGCTGTTTAGAATATATAGTTGCCTAGAGTGGTCTTATAGGCCAGATGGGTGGGGTATTAAATAGCCTAGAGTGGTCTAATATGATCAGATAGGTGGAATAGAAATAAAATAAATAAATAAATAAATAAATAAATAAATAAATAAATTGCTGCCCTGGAGATGAAAGTGACTGAGTGAGGACTGCGAGATCTGGAGTTGTGAAGTTACTGATTTGGGAGTGCAGATTTTGTTTACAAGCAGATTTCTAGTCCTCTTGAAATAAGGAAGCATTTGCACCAGGGGCCAGAGCATCAGGGATACACCTAGAACTCTGAAGTCACCTACAGAAAGCACCACTCGGAGAACTGCATGCAAGGCCGCAAAGCTGGGAGGACTTCCTCTGTTCATTCACTGCTTAAGGAAAGGGCCCTTTGCCTCGCCACAGACTCAGTGGTTTGTGGGGAATCAACATCAGCAGGTGATAAATATGCGGGCAAAGTGAGTGCAAGATCAGAGGACGAGATGGGGTTGCATTTGATCAAACGGGGAAGGGTTGCTTCGAGCCGGAGTGATCTCCCTTAAAACATCCATGGAGGACTCGGTCCAGCCCCCCCTCCCCAGCCCTCAAATAGCCCTGACATTGGACCAGAAAGATTCAGCTTGGATGTGGATTAGGGTCGGGCTCACTCGTGATCTCACATGTGTCCTGCGGTCGCTGGGAAATAGCTCACACCAGATGGCTGCAAGGGGTCAAAAACTTGAGCTGTTTTTCCCGTCTGAGGGCACCCTGAGATTGCCGAAGGACCGAGGCGAAGGGTAGGTGCGTGAAAGCCAAGCTGTAAGAGCACCCCGTGTCTCCTTCTGAATGTAGCCACTTCCTCCGTTGCCTCTGTGGCTGGGGAAAAGATGCATCTTGAGGACTTCAGGATACAGGGGACTCGTAAAAACAAACTTTGCCTTAGAGCACCCTCGGCTCTTGTGAAGCACGAGATGCTGATGAGTTTGTGCCTACCGCTTCGTAGCAGAGATGGGCACGGACTGCTGGTTCGTGCCACTTTTATCGGCCGAGAAGGTGTTTGGTGCTTCCAGGCCTTGCCTCCTCCAGCGGGCATCCACTCAAAGGCGGTGCCCAGAGTGGGCAAGGAAGCTGGGGCGCTGCCTCCACGTTGGTGCCTGCTAGAGGAGGAGCTGAGGAGCACCGGACCCCTGCTCGTCCGATAAACAAACAGGCACAAATCACTGGTTCGGGGGTTTCTGTCCATCTCTACTTTGCAAATAGGTTCAGCCTTCGTCCTCCCTCATCTTACCCGCCTTGTTGTATCCCTCCTCCCGCCGCCCTCTCATCCTATGGTGATCCTGCCACATGGCAAGGCATCAAGAACTTGTTCCATTCTGGTGATCTCTTTTTTATTAAAGAAATTACATCTCTCTCTCTCTCTCTTGGTCCGTACAGCAAATGCCAAAGGACCCGATATGAACAGTGCACAGAAAACACCCACCCACCCCCCACACCAGAACACCCTCCCTGTGACAGTAGAGAAATAGGATCTATCATTTACACACACTTCAAGAAATCAGGACAGGGAGAAAAAAAAAACCCAGCCAGCATAAACATCACAAACCTCCCTTGTTCCAGAGTTACGGGAGAGAGTAAGGGAATGGCAGCACAATAGTGCTGATTTTCTCTCTAGGGCGTTCTGCTGCAGAAGTCGGCCACTTGCCTTCTCCATTCAACCCACGGGTCCTCGTTAGCCCCCCGTCCCCGGGCAATGCAATTCACCTCCTGCAACCCTGCCTCTCTTGATTCAAATCATAGCCGATCGGACAGAGGGTTGCCCCATTTGCTCTTGAAGGGCTCCAGCACTGGAACGCTCATCGCCACCTCCCGAGGTCATGGGATCCATCGTCGTACTGCTCTAACAGTTCAGAAGTTTTTTCTGATACTCGGCCAAAATCTGACTCCCTATAACCTGAGCCTATTATTATGTATCCTGCGCTCTGGGTTGGCCGAGAACGGATCCTTCCTCTATAAGGCAACCATTCAAGTCTTTGAAAAGTGCTCTCCTGTCTCCCCTCGGTCTTCTTTCCTAAAGGTTGAACATGCCCGGTTCTTTCCATTTTTACCTCCGAGGGCTTGGTTTTCCAGCCCCCTGATCATCCTTAGGGCCCTCCTCTGAACTTGGCTCCCTTTTAAAGTGTGGTGTCCAGAACCGAGCACCAAATCGAGGGGAACTCGTCCCTCGCAGGATTTGGAGACTCTTTCCCTGTTATCATTCATTAAGTCTGAACTTCTGAGCAGTTGTGTCTAGGATGACTCCATAAATGTCTTATTATGGACACTTTGTTCTGGCCACACCGCCCTGATGCAGAAAAGGGGTGGCCCTGGCCAATTATTATTATTATCATCGTTTTGAAATGAGCATTTGGACCAGAGAGGAAACCCTTATGATTTGGGAACGGTGCGGTTGTTTTCCTTGCCAACTGACCTTATTTCCTGTTGTGCTCTGAGCAAAATAAAGCAGCTACTTCCCACCTCGGGAAATTGGGCCCCCAGAAGCTTTGTGGGCCCTGAAAGGAAAAGTGGCTTTCCTGCTGGGCTCTTGGCTGCAGTCGGTTGCTGCAGATCAGTTAATGGATAACTCGGCCGAAGGTGGCTGGACAAGCGAGGCTACCTACCCTCTCTCGCCTCCCTCTTTATATTGCTGAACGTGCGTAGGCGGGCATGTCTAAACACCCCCTTTGCCAAGTTTGCTGTGCTTGAAAAAACTGGAAATGAGAGAGAGAGCTGCCTCCTTTTATAGTTTCAGGAACAACACATAGCATGTCTGTTACTCTTCGCAGCTTCTTTTTGGTGGGATCTCAGAACTAAAAGGGCAGAGAAGGAGCCGAGGCAGAATAAATGACGCTTGCCTAAGAGGGACCCAAGCTTTCCTCTGTCTGGGTGGCCTCCAGTCTTCTCCCATGGTCTGAAACGGATAAAACGATCAGTATTTTATAGGGGTGGAAATCTTTCCTTCAGATGCTGAGTCCCTGCACGGGGAGGATCAGGGACTGCAGCCATAGCCTTCCCACCCTGCAATAAGGTGAGGTATTGTGTGAAACACTCGGTAAAAGAAGAAAAAGGAAGTTCTTGGGCTAATTCAGCAAAACGGCACAAAAACAGTATTCTAAAAACAAGCTGTGCTCAGTGACAACCACTGCTGCTTTGCTGCCTGGACTTTTAAGGGTGAGAAGCATCCGATGGGTTTCTCGCATCTTTCTGAATAGTCAGCCAGTCCTTCTGTGCTTGCTCTTTGTTTGTGTGTGTGCGTGTGTGTGTCTGTGAGAAAGAGTGTCCGAGTGTATTTGTGCCATACTTCTCAAGGGTGGAGAGCACTCCTTTCATGTGGGAGCAGTCTGCACACATTTCAGGGAGGCCCTGATGCAGAACGACAGCCCTCCTCTCTCGCTGGGAGGTGAGGCCTATATCGCTGTGCTTGAAAATTCAATGTTGAGGTATCCTGTTGAGACATTTTAAATGTCTCGAGAACAAACCAAAAAAGTCACGAACCTTCTTTTCCATTTCTGGTCTTTGGCTTTCTGCTTGTCCTCGGAAGACGAGGGCCACTTTTTCCTTCTCTGCCGGCAGGGCTCCCAGGCTACCCCATTCCAGAGAAGCAGCCGGCGTCCAAAACATAATTTCCATACCAAGGCAACCAACCTCTGGAAAGGGGTTAGGAGGCCCTTGGGGTTCGCCGATTTTTGTGGAAAGGGACGCTTTGTGGCCCCGGCTGTGGGAGTAAGACAGCAAAAAGGGAGAGATGGAAGAGGTCAAATCCACACACAGAGGGGGAAAAAAAGAGGTCATGGCAACTCACGCCCTGAAGGTGGTCCTTTGGAGGCACCAGCAGGTAGAAAGAGGAGAGGCCACTTTTATGGGCTGACCGCAGACACATGGAGATCGGGGGGGGGGAAATCTTCAGAGGGCAGAACTCATATTAAGAGATCTGATGAAACCTCCTTTCTCCCTTTCCTCAAGACACAAAGCAAAACCCAAGCAAATTCCAGCCCACTTCTCCCCCCCCCCCCCGAGGAGAAGATCGGTAAAGGAAATCAGAAAACAGAAGCAAACAAGAGGCAGTGGTCCCAAAAACGGCAGGCTCGAAAACGGAAGAAGTCCCGGCGTCGGAGTGGGCTTCCTCAGGCCCCCAGGAGCTTCTTGACCATGTAGCCGGGCATGGAGTAGAGGAAGAGGGCCACCATGATGACGAGCAGGAGGGCCAGGACAATCTTGATGATCAGCCACTTGTAACGGGTGCAAATGAGGTATCTGATAGATTTGAGCGGGTTCAGGAACCAGATGAAGGAGGTGTCAGGCCGACTGTGAGGAAGAAAGAGACAAAAATCACTAAGCGCAGCAGGCCGTGATTGATCCACGTGGACCCATCCAAGTCTCGTCTCGAGTGGGCAAGTTGCTTTCCGTTTTGTAGAGAACCTAGTTAAGGCACCTCTGTGTTTCTGTCACGGCCATCACGAGGCCAGCAACCAAAGCAGGTGGGCATAGGTGCAGAGGCAGCTGGCCCCGCTTCCCTGCCAGGAGCCTCCTGCGACCTCTGAAGATGGCACCAGCGGCCCATGGTGGCAATCGTGGAGATGGGACCAGGTGGAACCACCTCCACCCCATAATGAACCCAAAAATGAACCACAAACTGTTTTTTTTTCAGAGGGTTTGTGGTTCCTAAGGTAAAAGGTAAAGGTTCCCTTTGACATTAAGTCCAGTCGTGTCTGACTCTAGGGCGCGGTGCTCATCCCTGTCTCCAATCCGTAGAGCCAGCGTTTGTCTGTAGACAGTTTCTGTGGTCACGTGGCCAACACGACTAGACACGGGACGCCGTGACCTTCCCACCGAGGTGGTCCCTATTTATCTACATGCATTTTCACATGCTTTCAAATGGCTCGGTTGGCAGGAGCTGGGACAAGCGACAGGAGCTCCCTCCATCATGTCGATTCGATCTTACGACGGCTGGTCTTCTGACCTTGCAGCCCAGAGGCTTCTGCGGTTTAACCCGCACTGCCACCACGTTCTTACCATTGTGGCTCCTAGGCAGCCATGAACCACCCAGACCCCACTGGTTTTCCAGTCCGGGCCCATCTCTACCTGTGACACGTGATCACCCTGCACTGGCCATGGAAGAGACTGCGGCCGTGGCACTGGACAGTTGTCGGGTGAAGCCAGATCCTGCCAGCCCCCTGCCCTGGGCGTGCCTGGCGGTTTGCTGATGCTCATAAACATCTCTGAAGCACAAGCCGAGGCCAGCCTGATGTTTGGTGAGAAACATTAGATTCCAGAAGGACGTGGACTCTGCCTATCGCTGGTTGGACCAGACGCCCTCCCTGAGAAGCAGGATGATGCCCAAAGACACCCAATCATCCTTTGGATCCTCATGTAGTTACATTTTAGCATTAGGGATATGATGTCATTTTGGTCCCTGGAGGTGGAGCTGAGCATCTTTAAAAATAGGAAGCAAGGGTCAGCCTCTCTCCGAACCTTATGCCTCATCTACTAGGATCCTATGCATTGACCACTGCCTTGGTGGGGAAATTATGTTCTTGGACCCAGCCTTTTTAAAAATCTTTCTAGTATTCTCAATAAATATGAAACCAGGTTGATTTTCTTGCTATTTAGCATTCCCGTTTAGTCAGTGGCTAATCATTTCAACTAACCATTAGTAACAACAATTATATTTTGATTCTTCCCCGCCCCCCCTCTTGGAAGCCCATCGTGTTTGTGTCAATTTGTGAACTTCCTCTTTTCGGATATTCTTGCCTAAAACTTTTCTTTTCTTTTCCTTTCTTCTGGCGGTGCCCAAAGACCCCCACGCGGCTGGCCCAGGGCTACATCGGCGGGCTTGTCTCCCATGAGGCACAGGGGAGAATTGAACTCCCAACCTCTGTAACTCACAGAGCTCTTCAGCCGGCTAACTCGTTGTTGCTAAGGCAAACATCAAACCTTTCTTCCATTTCTTAGTGCCAACACTGGAACAGCAGCCACTTCGCTTCAAAGCTTGCCTGAAAACCTCAGTTTTGGAAGCAAGAAAAGACAGTCACCCAAGGAAAAGCCAGGGCTGGGGGACTCGAGTCGTGGGTAAGGTTAAGGTCAAGGTCAAGGTCCCCCTTGATATTAAGTCCAGTCGTGTCTGACTCTAGGGCGCGGGGCTCATCCCCGTCTCCAAGCCATAGAGCCAGAGTTGGTCCAAAGACAGTTGCCGTGGTCACATGGCCAGTGTGACTAGACATGGAACGCTATTACCTTCCCATGAAGGTGGTACCTATTTATCTACTCACATTTTTACATGCTTTCGAACTGCTAGGTTGGCAGGAGCTGGGACAAGCGACGGAAGCTCACTCCACTGCGTGGATTCGATCTTACAACTCCTAGTCTTCTGACCTTGCAGCACAGAGGCTTCTCTGGTTTAACCCGCAGCGCCACCCACGTCCCATTTGAGTCGTGGGACTCGTTGTCAAATCGGACATCAGTCACACCAACGACTTGACTTGGGTTCCACCTCCCCCATGACTCAAACTTGACTCGTGACTCAGAACTTACTCACCCCTCCCTTTTTTTCTAGGGAAAAGAGCTTGTTTTTTTAAAAAAATAGGGACTTGGGACTCAAGTCTTGGTACCAAAGACTTGGGAATCAGACTCAAAGCCTTGCCAGCATCATTGAGAAAAATGTGTCGGATTCACCCAACTGAATAAGCACCGCACACACGAGATCAAAGACTAGGATTCTCTCTCTGTGTGTGATCTTTTCACTCCTGTATTCTGCACCACTCCGGGAGGCAGTGGAAGACAGGAGGGCTTGGCAAGGTCTGGTCCACGGGGTCACGAAGGGTCGGACACGACTTAACGACAAAACAACAACAACAAGTTCTGCACCACAGCCTTTAACAGGCCATGGCAGATCTTTTACTCCCTTTCTTCTCAGGTCCCCTTCACCCTGTCCACATCTTACATTTTTTCCCCTCCACCCTGTCACCACCTGGGTTTGGCAGAAAGGGAGACCACGCAGGATGGGAGTAGGTGGGAAAGAGAAGAAGTACCCCATGGCCAAAGGGTTGGGCCCTCTCAGGCCCCGAGCAGCTTCTTGACCAGGTAACCGGGCATGGAGTAAAAGAAGAGTCCGACCATAAGGAGCAAGAGAATCAGGAGGAGGATTTTCAGCAGCAGCCATCGGTAGGTGTGCCAGATAAAGTAGCGGATGGACTTGAGAGGGTTCAGGAACCAGATGAAGCTGGTGTCTGGGCGGCTGGGGCCGAAGGACAAGGAGCCAAAGGGAGGAAAGGGTGGAGGAGGACAGGAGACCGAGGAGACAGGAAAGAGAGAGAGAGAGAGAGAGAGCAGAACAGAGTCAGTGCGAATGGGGTAATGGTAGAGGCCGTCTCTAAGCCAAATCATGGGTCCATCTTAGACATCAGGGTCCCGCTGCTGTTCCCCGTCCTTTCCACCCCACCGCTATCCCATCACCATGATTTATGAACATCAGCTGGAGGTCCCACCTCCTCTCGCCTCAGCCCCATCTGGCGGCTTACTTGGGTTTCTCCAATGGGTCGGGCTCGTTACGAGCCAGCCCGGCTGGACTTTTCTCTGCTTCCTCGGCGGTCAGGAGGTGGAGCTCGGCTTCCACTTTGCCCTGCGGGGGGAGTTAAAAAGAGGACGGACGCCGTGACTACAGAAGCCAAAAGAGGACTACCCCCCCAATGGCCGTCCGTCTGGTGGGCATCCATCCAGATGGCTGGCCGGAGGGCTCTGCCCAGGGGGAGCAAGAACGAAGGACAGCCAAGCCACGGTGGAAAATAGTAGAAACACACACCTGCATCTCAACACAAAGAGTTGGAAGGACCCGAAAACCAGAATACAGTGGTGCCTCGCATTACGACGTTAATTCGTTCCAGCGAAATCGCTATAGAATGAAAACGTCGTAAAGCGAAAATAAAAAAGCCATTGAAACGCATTAAAACCTGGTTAATGCGTTCCAATCGGCTAAGAACTCACCGTCCAGTGAAGATTTTCCATAGGGGCGGCCATTTTCGGGTGCCTGTGCAGCGAAAAATGGCTCCTAAACACAGCGGAGCGCCATTTTGAGCACCCGGCGGCCATTTTGAAAACCCGACGATCAGCTGTTTGGATCGTCAGGAAGCGAAAATCGGTTCCTGAAACAGGGAACCGATCATCGTGCAGCGAAATTCCCCCATTCAAAACGTCATTTTGCGATCGCTTTTGCGATCGCAAAAACCTCGTCGTAATGCGGATTCATCGTTAAACGGAGCGCCCGTCTTGCGAGGCACCACTGTACTCCATCTGACAGACCTGCTCTGATTAGGACTCCCGGGCAACCTCCAGCTTTCCAATGCATCCTGGACCGGGATCGTCCCTTATTTCTGTCTCTTGAGTCCCTCCAGTTCTGTGGATGGGTTGCACCTAACCTGGCACTATTTCCCACCCACTCCCCTTCTCGGCTCTTATGGCTCTGAATTTTCCTTGGTCCAGCAGAGACGGCAGACTGCCCCCTCTCCCGCTTACCGTCATCTCCAGCTCATCGTTCTCATCCCGTGCCAAGAAAGGCCACCAGCCTTTCACCCGCTTCTGCTTGAAGATGGAGATCATGGGCACTTCGGTCTCGCCGGTGGCCAGCTCCATGGAGCACTGCTTGGCCGTCTTGGCCCCCCGTGGGAAGCGGTTCAGGTCCAGCTCAATGCCCCCTGCCAGAACAGAGAAAGGAAACAGCCAGGTTGGAGGTTCCTGCAGCGGAGGGTGATAAAAACTGGAGCTCCCTTTCATGCGGACGAGCCTAGAGAGTCAAGAAGAGCTGCCGCATCTTCTAGGGATGCTCCCAACATTAGACATTATCCTGGACTGAGCTAAAATCTGGGATTTGCAACCTTTTTACCTCCCTGTTTCTGTTGACCTTTCTGAACCACCCGTGCTGATTTCTGAGACTCTGAAGAACAGCTGGACAGCTCAGGGGTTCAGGTCCCCGACTGCGAAGCCAAAGGTTGGGGGTTTGATTCCTCACTGCCCCTCCACTGGTAGACTCAGTGATCTATTGAGTCCCTGCCAGCTCCACAGCTCTAAGATGATGATGATCCTTCACAAACTGCTGGAGAGCTCAGTGGTTTAAGCATCTGGTTGCAGAACCAGAAGTTGGGGAATTTGTCCTCCCCTCCCTCCCCCCACTGTGCCTGCTTGAGATAATGGTTAAAATGCTTTACCGGTAGGAAAACCAAAACACTTTTGCAAACGGAGAAGCATAGATCTCACGGCAGCCTTAAACTTTAATTCCTGAGGCTTTTTACCGTGCTTTGCCAGAAGGAAGGCGACGTAGAAAACAAAACATATAAGAACAACGAACAAATGTCAGGCGGCGCTTATGGGAAGCCTTGTTACGCACCGAGGAAGTCGTCAGCGGAAAAGTGGTCAGCGTCCCACACCTGTAGCGTGAGTCGGGCCGGAATCTTGTATTCGGTCTCGTCCCAGGAGAACATGGACTCCTTCTTCGAGATGACAATCTTCTCCTCTGCCGCCAGGTAGTCGAAAGGAAAGATGTAGCGCCAGTTGAAGTTGCCCTCGCCGGTCAGCGAGTGGTAGTGGACGTCGGTGTCCTGCTTGTCTTCCTGCTGCCCCTTCAGCCACCTGTGCGGGGGGAAAGCCAGAGGAAAGGCTCAGCGGGAAGGCCCCCCCTCAACTGCTGCCCCTTCAGCCACCTGTGCGGGGGAAAAGCCAGAGGAGAGGCTCAGCGGGAAGGACAGCCACCCATCCCTGAGGATGGACAGTCAGAGTGGTTGAGACCGCATGTCTCTCTCTTTGGGATCCACCGGAGGATTGCCAGAAGCTACGGATCTGCGCCAAAGGAGTAATGCTTCTAACACTGGAAGAGCCATGGATCAGAGGTCCTGTGTAGTGAACCTCAACCAGTTACCCTCCCCGAGATATTATTTGTTTGTTTTATTCATTTATCCCACCCAATGAGTAGCAGACTCTAGCAGCAAAACAACAACAACAACAATCGCACAAAGTACACAACAGACCCAATTAGAAAATTCACATAAACAGCAAGCAAGGAACATAATATCTAAACATTTTCTGTGTATAAGACTATACTTTTGTCTAAAATTTTTAGACTGAAAATTGAGGGTCGTCTTATACACAGAGGTAAGCTGAGGAGAGAACAAAAACAAGTGGAGGGGAAGGCAGGGATCAAAGTGATCCTGCAGCGCTTTGATCTCTTTCCCCCTACACTTTCTAAGCCCCACTAACAGTTCTTAATTGTGGGTTAGAAAAGTGGGGGGGGGGTCTTATACATGGGGGCATCTTATATGCGGAAAAATCGGTAACCAATAAAGATTAGTACCATATTTTTCCGTTTATCAGATGCTCCCATGTATAAGACACCCCCACTTTTCCAACACAAAATTAAGAAATCAATATTTTAAACATAAAACAGAACACATTTTATTTAGTAATTAGGTACGATTTACATTCCATTACTGTCATATTATGCATCGCACTTAGCTTTGAGCCTTTGGGCTGAGAACGTTTGGACATTACGAATCCCTGTTGCATCTGAGCACTGCCTACACGCTCCACCTCCAATGAGGTGTGTTCCATTTGTCTGTTCAGCATCCACTGATGTCATTTACAGAAGGCATGTGACTGGAGGAAGTCTGTTTGCAGAGGCAAAGTATGGGCAGTTTTGCAATCACATGGTTCTCTCCTCGGCTTACTTCCATGTATAAGACAACCCTCAATTTTTAGGCTAAAGATTTTAGACAAAAGTATCATCTTATACATGGAAAAATGCGGTAACTGTAATAATTTATTACGGCCAGTGATCAGGAAGATAAGAATACATTATTTAGATAAAGATCACATAATATCAGAGATATTAAGACATGTCACTATCCATACACCGTCTGGCTCTTTTATGACATTAAAGTTAAAAAGACGTTCTCAGTTAGCCAGTGGCCTTGAGGGACATAAAAGCTTTTAAAACATCGCAGCATTCACATAATACAGGATGAAATTAAGAGACACATATAAGCATCAGTATGCCACCCCAACCCTTCTAGAAAGTAAATTAAACAAGAAATCTCTAACGAGGGCAGGGGCACTCGAAGACCTTATGTGGTCAGGACACTCCGGCAAGCTATTGTGGCAGCGCAGGATTTGGCCACTTTGCTAGTAATGTAAGAAACCTTATCGAAGAGCAGCAAAAGAAGATAAAATTCATGTAATCTCCCTGGCACTTTTTTAAAAAAATAAGGGAGAGAAGACCCTTGTGGAGATCTTGACAAAAATGAGAGTATAACAGAATATGTCCCACTGTTTCTACTTCACTACCACGGCAAGGACATAAAACGATCAGAACAGAGTGTGCCCGGAAGAATATTAGTAACTATAAAACAGCTATCGATATATTGTTGTCAGACATCTTATTTTCCACCACATACTCTTTGTCCCCACGGACACCTCATTGATATTCCAGAGAATCATCCCCACCTCATACCTAGCCATCACACAGAGTGGACGGAAACATACGACATCATCATCATAATCAACAAAATCAACAACACCACACGGACCAGAAAGGAAGGATTGACCAAGAAAGCCGCCACGGATGCCAGCGTGGAGACATTCCAGCGGTGAAGCCATCGCCTGTTCTCCGGACGACTTCCAAAGCCACAATAAAGTTCACACCAAGAGGCACCCCAAAAGTGAGAGAAAGAAACCGGTACATACGTACCCCCGGACAAAAATGTCACTGGACTTCTCGCCCGTGAAGTAATCGTCGTCCTCCAGGACCACCTCGTCGGTGTTCCACACGATCACTCTAAGCTCGTATCTGGCAAGGGAGGAAGGAAGGGAGAGATGGGGTGAACCGCAGAGGAGAGAAGGAGAGGAGGTAACGATGGATAGGGGAAAGATCAGCTTTCCATAAAACTGTGTCCCCGCTTGGGAGTGACTGTAAGGACGCGCCCGCACACTGGTGCACAAACCAATGACTTCTCCTTTAGGGACAGATGCGTAACTCAGGCAGGTCGACGGAGGCTTCAGGGCGCACAAAAAAACCCAAACCACTGCAGGAAGCGTGCACGTCTGTCTTCTCGGAGTCATAAGCTAAACCAAATCCTTTTTGTTCCCAGCACACACACCCCAACCTCATACGAGAGGAGATATTACGAGTATCCCCACCCCTGGGCTCTTTAGACTTTTCACTCCCCAGAGACGGGAGGAAATGTTTGCTGGTTTTCAAAGAACGGGTTGCAGCAGAAAGCTCTCGTTGTTCACTTTCTCTACTTAAAAAAGGGATCCTATCCCGGAACGGGTCGAGACCCCTGTTCTGAAAGACAGAACTTCGGTAGCCCTGATGCCTCCAACACAGATGTGTGTGCGCATGCGTGTTTTCAAAGAACGGGTTGCAGCAGAAAGCTCTCGTTGTTCACTTTCTCTACTTAAAAAAGGGATCCTATCCCGGAACGGGTCGAGACCCCTGTTCTGAAAGACAGAACTTCGGTAGCCCTGATGCCTCCAACACAGATGTGTGTGCGCATGCGTGTGCACACACACAAAGAGAGAGAGAGAGAGAGACTTCTAATGGCTACCTCCTACCCTTGCATTCTACAGAACTTCGGTAGCCCTGATGCCTCCAACACAGATGTGCGCGCGCATGTGTGCGACACACACAAAGAGAGAGAGAGAGAGAGACTTCTAATGGCTACCTCCTATTACTGCCTTGCATTCTGGTCCATGACAAGATGGATACAGCCTCGTGGAATGAACATGGATCCGTCTGGTGCACGGAGAGAGGCCATCTGCAGATGCTTTGGGAAAAAACTATGGAATAGCCTCCTTTGTCCTAGAATTGCAGAGGACTTGAACGGGGTACCATGTCTAATGTGATTCAGCCTTGACCGTCTCTAGACAACTTCCTTGGTACCCAATGCTGGCACAGTCTTTCCCTGCAGAACCTGAGTGTTATGATGGGGGTGAACTAGTGGAATAAAAATCTGGGATGCCTCTCCATCCCCGGTGGGCAGCCATCCACACCTTCCTATGTGCCCAGAGATACTGAAGCTCAGCGTTTATACAGTGGTGCTTAACAACGTTAATTCGTTCCAGCGAAATCGCTGTAGAGCAAAAACGTCATAAAGCGAAATTAAAAAGCCCACTGAAATGCATTGAAAACCGTTCAATGTGTTCCAATGGGCTGAATAACTCACCGTCCAGTGAAGATCCTCCATAGGGGCAACCATTTTTGCTGCCTGTAGAGCGCGGAATCCATCCAAAAACACAGCGGGGAGCCATTTTGAGCACCCGCCGGCCATTTTGAAAACCCGACAAGCAGCTGTTTTGATCGTCGTAATGTGAAGAATCGGTTCCCGAAGCAGGGAACTGATCATCGGGAAGTGAAAAAAGCCCATTAAAACATCATTTTGTGATCGCAATTGCGATCACAAAAACATCGTCGTGAAGCGGATCCGTTGTTATGCGGGGTAATCGTTAAGTGGGGCATGACTGTATTGGGATGGCAAGGACCCATACAGTCCCAGTCCAGAGAGATTTGTATTCCTTGCCCAACTTGCTTACTGCTGACACAATATGGACCCTAATAAAAAATAAAAATAAAGATTTGTATTCCTTGCCCAACTTGCTTACTGACGGTTCATCTGCTGACACAATATGGACACTAATAAAAATAAAAATAAAAATAAAGCAAAGGCAAGCAAAGTGTGCTGCTTATATACTTCCCCATAATGCTTAAAACACTCTCTGGCAGTTTAATAATGCAGGCTACACATGGTCTCTTCTCCCCAGTGAACGGGGTACTCAATTTACCCACCTTGGAAGGCTGAGCGAAGACTACTTAGGATTGAAACCGGGAAATGAGCAGAGTTTTAGATGCAGTACTGCAGTTTCCCCAGTGGAACACAGGCCTCCTCCTTTGCTTCTCCTCCTTCCTTCTGGAAGGGAAGGGAAGACTCTGCCCTGCTCTGAGTCCACTGGCCTCTGTGGGGTCGGAGAGATGTGCTCCCTCACCCTCCCGACCCATGGAGAGAAGCGCAGCCACACGCAGCTAAACCTGAGCAGCAACTGCAGCCACCTCCGCCTCCGTGGAATTTCCCTGGCAGCTAGAATGACATCTTCTGGCATCTCATTCTTTAAATGAACGATGTCTCGGGGCAAAGAGGCCTTTAGTGCCTCCGGGTATCCACTCACGGGGGGGGGGACTGGAGTTCTAGAACGTTGCGTGCATGAGGAGGAAAAAGCTCAAAACCTTTTTCCACCTCGTGCAACATTTTAGAACCCTCAAGACACCTTCGATTCATCTTCCCTCCGCACTGAAAATATCCCCAAACGTATTCTCCTAAGAGGCGTTTTGGTAATTTAAAAAACTTCCTAATATCTGTTAAGTCTTTTCTTGAGATGTTGATGCACAGCATGCTGCTATATCCATGCAATGCTAATCCTTCGGTCTTGAGTTGCTTGTGATCATATTGTTTGGCGTTCTCTCTCTCTCTCTCTCTCTCCTTCTCCTTCTCCTTCTCTCTCTCTCTCTTGTTCTCTCTTTCTGTGTTTCTTTACACACCATCCAACCATCCAGCCTCCTCTATGATGGTCCCAGCCTTGACTCCCTCCTGGGAAAGCCCAGCCCATCCCAGGTTGGCCAAGCCTTACTTCTTCGGTTTCCTGGGTGAGATGTCAATAGCAGGGCCAGGCGCCGGCATGTCCATGGGGAACATGTCCACCCACATCTCCAACCGACCCTGCAAGGTTGGAAAAAACTAGTTAGTGGCTCCTGAGCACACACCCCCTCCTGCCAACTCCTACATAGGTCTCCCCCCAAAGTCAGTCGCAAGCCACTCAACTCTGTCTTGGATGGTTTACTGGAGCGGGGGAGCACAAAGGCAGAGAAATAAAGAAAACAAATATTCCACTATGGACCATTCACCCCCATTCTCTCTGGCATTGCTGGCATTTTGTATCATCTGAAAAATTTGACAAACATTCCCCGCAATTCCTCATTCAGGTCATTAATATTGAAGAGCACCGGGCCCAGGACTGAGTCTTGGGGTACCCCACTTGTGACCTCCTCCCTGTTAGAGGAGTACTGCAGTTTCCTCTAAGTACGATTCTGTAGCCAATTGTGCATCCAGCTGACTCTTGATCTATCCCAGCCCGCACCTCGTTAGCTTGCTCATCAGGAGATCATGGGGCACTTGGTCAAAAGCTTTGCTGAAGTCAAGGTATACTACGTCTATAGCATTCCCTCTGTCTATCACAAATACATTGTGGAAATATTATTTTCAGTGTTTTTCCCCCTTCTATTGCTGAAGTAAACACCTGATTTTCCAGTCCTGGCAAGGAGCTCGGACTTCTCGGCCCCTCCCTCTCGGCCGATCTCGCACTCAGACCAAAAGGAGGGGGCAGAGAAGTCTGGGCTCTTGCTCCTGACTGGGAGATTAGCTGAGGAGGCAAGAAAAGCAAGCCAGCTGGGCCTGGCGAGGGGATGATTGACGGAGGAGGCAGGGGACGGCAGCAGCAGCACCTTGATGAACCGGGACGAACCAATTTGGGCCCATCTCTACAGGAGAGCCGTTTGCTCCTTCAGGTCTGCCAGCTCGGGAGGTGGTGCTGGGTACCTGTTCAATTCCTGGCTTGTCCGGGTTGAGCAAGGGCCGGGTTTCCACGTGCTCAGGCACGAGCTTGCAGCCAACCCGGGGGATCTCCTCCCAGTGATGCAGCACGGTCAGGGCCAGATGCTCGTCCGTCTGTTTCTTCTGACCTGGCAGAGCAAAGAAAACAAGGCAGTAAGAGGGAGACAAGCAGCAGCTAAGCAGGGGCCGCACCCCAAAGGCATCTCTGCAACTCCTTTTTAAAAGGGTGACCAGTTGGGAACTAACACTGCAGCATCACCAAAGTATTCTCGAAGGCTTTCATGGCCTGGATCTGATGGTCGTTGTGGGTTTTTCGGGCTGTTTGGCCGTGTTCTGGAGGTTTTTCTTCCTAACGTTTCTCCAGTCTCTGTGGCTGGCATCTTCAGAGGACAGGAGTCAGAACTCTGCCTGTGTTCTGGTGTAGTGTGTGGGATAGTGACCCCCCCCTTATCACAACAATACTCCCATAACAAAAAACACGCTGATCACCCTAATCACCCACTCTCCTGATCCGACAGCTACAAATACTCAACTATCCCACACACTACACGAGAGCACAGACAGAAACGAGAGCACAGACAGAGTTCTGACTCCTGAAGATGCTGTCCACAGAGACTGCCGAAATGTTACGAAGAAAAACCTCCAGAACACGGCCAAACAGCCCGAAAAACCCACAACAACCAACTATCACCAAAATTTAGCACTTTTTTAAAAAAATGCTAATTATTTGGGGCTAAATTGAATTGTTTGTCTCAGGTAGATCCATTGGATCTATGCTTCCTACATGGATTTTTGACTTCCCAGACTGCACGGTTCCAACTTTTTAAAATTTTATTTTAAAAATACTGGTAGAACTTGCTGTTTTAGCTTTCAAATATTGCCTTTTCAAATGACGTAAGCGGCCTGGGGCATCTTTTTTTAAAAAAGGAGGAAGGGTGGGTAAAAGTATTTTAAATGAATGGATGGATGGATGGATGGATGGATGTTCTAGTCACTGTCCCCCACCTCCAAAAATTAGCTAGTTGTGGTCAATATTTTGTTTTATATTGTGGATGGATGGATGGATGGATGGATATTCTAGTCACTGTCCCCTACCTCCAGCTGTGATCAATTTTTTGTTTTATATTCCTCTTTACTACCTGAAAGATAAATCAGGCTATCAGGAGCCTAAAGTGCACTACGGCTAAAACTGTACTTTTGCAGTACGAGTACAAAATGGCATGAAATCCAGGCACCAGAGTTCCTAACCCTTTGGGATGGAGACGTCCTTGACGCCCCTCACATCCAGCCGTCACTTACCATGCTCGTCCTCTGCCTCTGTGGGGCCGGTGAAGACCCGGTTCGTCACCTTCACTCTGCCCCCGGGCCCGTAGTGAGGGCCATCCACTTTCCCTTCTTTGCAGAGCTTGGATAGGATCTGGGTCGGCTTTTGAGGGTCTCGCCACATATTATAACCATGGCTGTGAAGAGAAACATGGAGCTCGTCAGCGGCACGATCTTCTCTCGTTGGAACCTCTCACCCCCTGGGGCAAGCAGAAGTTCATTTCCGGCCAGGCAAGAGGATCGGTTCTGTCTGTTGCAGCCGAGAGAATGTGAACGGCCGCCGCAGAGAAGATTTCCACCCAGCAAAACTCAGCCCAGTGATGTGGAAAGCCTTCTTACATGGAATAGGTCTGCGAGATGCCGCAGGTCGCCCTGTGCTTGCTATAATATCGGTTCTCCAGGTCTATCTTGGTCTCGCCGATGAGGTCGTCTGTGCCCACCAAGTCCCAGTCATAGATGGCGACGGTCAGCATGGACTCCATGGGGAACGTGGCCTCAATGTCGAAGGACCTGGAATGGGAGAAAGCAGACCTTTGAGGCCACGGAGGAACAGCAAATGGAGCCTCTTCATCCACACGAGACACAGGAGAGAGGGCCTTCTCTGTGGATGCTCTCAGACTCTGGAACTCCCTCCCACTGGAGGCCAGCCTGGCCCCGTCTTGGCTGTCCTTCCGCCAGCAAGTGAAGAAGACCTTTCTCTTCTAATACTGTCTACTCCTTGTTACGAGTCCTAAATGCTGTCTTTTAATTGTCGTAGGCTGCCTCGGGTCCTTTTTAATGCTGTCTTTTAATTGTCATAAGCTGCCTCGGGTCCTTTTTTAAAGAGAAAAGTGGGTTAAAAATATTTGAAACCAACCAACCAATAAATACTTGGTAAAAAAGAGGAGATAATGGCAAACAGAAACGGAGGGATGGGAAATACATTTCGTGGCTCGCTCAAAGGAAATTTGCCATCCAAGGAGTTCAGACTTAAGACGGCTGGGAAAAGAAACCAACGGGATGGTCCTCCAGCTTGTTGCCTTTTAAGCGTGCACAAAATTTGCGGCCCCCCAGCTACCACTAGGCAGGCTTCTCTGTTGATGCTGCTTTGCGGAAAAGACCAGGGTGGCTCACCACCACACGGCCAGTCCCTTACTTCCCAAAGACCGGGTTCAGCTGCTTGGAAATGTAGTTCTCTTTGTCCTTGATATCCGTCTTCCCCAACTTGATGACAATGTAGGGATCCGCTTTGCCGTTGATGTCTGCAGGATGCAAATCCGTGGCCTGGAAGGGAAAGACTTGTCATCGGTCGTGGCTCATGGCATTTGTATAACACACCTGGACAACTGAGGTTACGGGCGTTGCTTCCTCAGTGGAAGTGTGAAGCTTGCTAAGTAAAAGGATTTCAGTCGGCCAGCTAGAAAACAGAGTCGTCTCTGAAAGCCCCTTGCCAGGGGAGTAGACCAGCCTTTCCCAGCCATCCAGAGGCCCTTTTACTTCTTTTAATGAAAAGGCAGCCATAAATATATAAATTAGGTAAAGAAATCTAAACCTAATACTTTCAAGATCCTGCCTTGGTGATTGTCAGAATGGTAGCCCAATACGCAGCAGAGTCAAAAAGCTGGAGGAGACTCCACCAGTTGATAACACCGACCCTGTTTCTCCTTATGAGTCAGACAACGCTGCTACTCAGAGTTTAGAACTGAGGTCTGGATCTGGTCATGGGCTGGAGGAGGGTCAGTAAACTGAAATTTAGTCCTGGCCACCCTGTGTGTAGGTAGCTCCCGTGTCTTGGGATTGGGTACGTGGTCTATTCTGGCTGGTGTCTCCCTTTGAAAAAGCAAGGGAGAAAATCCGTCTTGATCCAACACCCTAGAAGAGCGTCTTTTACCAGTCACCACTTCCAGCCATGCTTTGGCAAGGAAAGTCTGCTGCTCACATTCCAGCAAGCTACTCTCTGGACTACTGTAAGGCACTGTTTGTGGGGCTGCCCTTGAGGGTTACCTGGAAGCTTCAACTGATGCAGAGTGGAGCTCCTAAAATTATAACTGGGAGAACCAGGTGGAACCCTATTACGCCGGTTCTGAAAGGGCTGTATTGGCTGCATCTTTGACTTTAGGCATAATTCTGTGGGTTGGCGTTTGCTCAAGGGAAGAGATAGCGAGGACTCTTTTAAACTTGGGGAGCTGGAATCAGGAGCTGAGAGATAACAAAAAGCTGTGCGTTTTTTTAGAAGTGAGAAACAGAGCCTGGAATTCTAGAGGTGGATAGATTTCCAGGCTCACGATGAGAAGGAAGAGACGCTCACCCTCACAATGTAGACACGGACCAGCACGTTGATGGGGTCGTTGCTCGGAATCCCTTGGAACATGCCGAAATTGGGGTCATAGCCAGCCTCTTTGGTAATGTCATCAAGGAGCGGGACTTCGAAGACACACAAGGAGCCCTGTGGGGGGGGAGAAGACCTTTGAGCTCACCTCGAATGGCATCTAAGCTAGGCCTGGCCTGGACCAAGCCAGGAAGAAGCCCGCGTGACGTGTCCTCCTTCTCGTGCATCTTTGAAACACATTGGTTAAAGCTCAAAGAAGCAAAAAAAACCAAAAATCCTTTATGGCACCTGAAAGACTAACCAAGGATGATGACGAAAGATTTTGTAATTTCTCTAGGTCATAAATCTTACGCTCAGCATGCCTTTCCAGGGGCCACAAGGTAACTCTCTGCCACCCCTCTGGAATCTGTGGGTTTCTTGCTTCGGCAGAGGGCTAGGCTCAGCTTCCTTCAGGTCCTTTTCATCTCTGATATTGTGTTAGCGTTAAAGGAGTGAGTGCTCTTAATGTTGGTCAGAATCCTTTTCAATTCTGACCAACATTAAGAGCATGCGTAATCTGATACGGCTAATTGTCACTAACCGATGAGCTGCCAGGATGCATCTCAGTTGTGCGTCTGATCCAGTTGTCCAACTGGGGTACCCCCCCGACACCTTCTCCATTAGCAACAATTAGCAAGCTAGGCAAACTAAGCTCAAAAGAAGACAGAGCTGGGTGATGGCCTTGAATTCTTCCACCTCCTATGATCTGGATTACGGTACAAGCTGCAAGCTAGGCAAACTAAGCTCAAAAGAAGGCAGAGCCTTGAATTCTTCCACCTCTTATGATCTGGATTACGGTACAAGCCAGAGAAGATTTCTTGGTTTTAATCATCCATCCATGTTCTCAACTATCTTTCTTTCTACTCACTTCCCTTAATCCCTCACACGTGATTCCCTCTTCCCTTGAGGTAACTAATAATGCAATGAATACAATGTTAATAGAAGTGAGGTGCCAAGTAGGTCTAGAGTTACTTTTTAGGTCTAAAAAATAAAAATTGGCTAGTTACTCTCAAACATTTATTTGGAACACCATATTAAGGCATTTTAGACGGCATTTTTTACAGACGCTTTCTTTCCCATCCTAAATAGCAAAGGAAGGATTATTTGGTTATATTTTGGATTTATATATATAAATCCAAGGTGCAATATCATAATTGTCTACTAGGGGGCACCAGAGGGTATAACCTTGTTTTTTCATTCTTTCTGGTTTCCTTGTCCCACCAGTGCAATGCATTCAGAGCAAGATAATGAACAACTTGCACAATCGGAGCAAAGAGAACTGACTGCTCAGGAAACTGAGCTCTGAAACTAGCTCAGCATCTTTTTCGAGATGGGGGTGGGGGGAGAAAGCAGCCACTTCTAGAAACACGATGGGTGCCCCTCTTATGGAAAGGGTCTGGCAGCCATCCCAGGTGTCCTTCAAGATCTCCCACCCAGACAGGTGGAAGCTCACCTTGAACCTGCCCACAATGCGGTCTTCATCTCCCGTATTGTCGTCGTCGTCCCCGATCTTCCCGCGGAAAAGGCTGAACGTGTGCAGCCAGTCCTCAAAGTAGCCAAACTCTGTCTCCAGCTCTTTGGGGTACACCTGGGTCATGAGGAGATGGGGCAAGGTGAACACCGTGACAAAAGCTGGGCCTCTGGTCACCCTCATTGACTGCCCGATCCTTTGGCCAGGACAGCTGGCCTGTGTATGATTCGGTGGAACCCTCTGTAGCTGATGCAGAGTCTCTGAGTCCCTCCCCAGTCCTCTCCCCCTTGCACGTTCTGCTTCCTCTGTGGATGTAACAGGCAGGGTTTGAAGGATGACGTGAACAGATCTGCAATGAGAAGACCTTCTCCACCACCGCCAGGACATTCCAGTCTCTGTCGGGGGCCAAGGGTCATGGCCAGAGGACAAACCATCAAGGGAGCCCTTCTCCACCACCGCCAGGACATTCCAGTCTCTGTTGGGGGGGGGCAAGGGTCATGGCCAGAGGACAAACCATCAAGGGAGCCTGCTTCACAGTTCCCCCATATCAGGCAAGAACAACACAAAAAATGTAAAGAAGAAGAAGAAGAAGACACAAACATTCGGGCACCTTAAGAGACTGCTATATTTCATTGTGAGCTTTCATAGACAAGTCCACTTCTTCAGGCCTAAAGGCTAACTTTTTGTTTACTTTTTATTTTTATTTTTTTTCCTGCCTGATATGCTAGCACAGATTACACAGCCACCTCTTCTAAAACTACAGCTTCTCCAGTTTCCTACCTTCTTATTCCTGCTGAACTCAGCATCTCCCCATAGAGAAACTGAGCCCACGGAAGCGAACGGGGCCACTGTACAGCCCACAGGAACCAGATTTCTATCCAGTCCCTCTTGCCCAGAGTTATTTGACGAACCGCAGTTCTCCAGGAACTAAGACAGAGGTTCCTCTCACGTCTACCTGGATTTCATCAGACAATAGGATTCCACTTTTTATTTTTATCCCTTGTTGACTAGGTAAGTACACAGATGGCTGAGGAACAATGAAAGCACATCTTTGTTTACTGGGGTGGCAATGGGGTTATCTGACAGTAATTAACCCAATGGCCGGCTGGTATCCCTAAATGCCCTCATGGGGAGAATAGTAGCCTGTAAATAAGACCAATAAATAACTAATATGTGTTTGGCTTATTTGGGTACTGGGTTTCTCAGAAAGAGGTTGTGTGTGTTTCTGAAGGGTGAAAGAAGCTGCATTGAATTTATTTTTCTTGAATGGCCACCATCATCATTATTGTCCCCATCATTTTAGAAAGGCAAGGTTGGAAGGGGACCCATGGGTTCACAAGTCCAGCCCCTGTCAAGGAGGCCCAGTGCGGGTGGGGGTGAGGGGGAATCAAACTCCCAACCTCTGGCTCTGCAGCCAGGTGCCAAAACTACGGAGTTCTCCAGCGGTTTCACCGCTNAGATGCCAAAAATACGGAGTTCTCCAGCGGTTTCACTGCTAGGTTTACCCCAATTTTCCCCCGGCCTGCACTGCTAGATCATAACGGGGAAGGCTGTTGGCCGAAGGGCTTTTTTGCTTCCCTGGGGGGGAGCTGTCCTGATGGCCACTCACCTTCAGCTCATCGATCTTCTGCTTGATCTTCTTCTCAGGGGCGTCCGGCAGAGTCTGCGGGGAGGGTGCATATAGCCACTCACTTTCAGCTCATCAATCTTCTGCTTGATCTTTTTCTCAGGCGCGTCCGGCAGAGTCTGCGGCTGTTGCTGCTGCTGCTGTTGTTGCTGCTGTTGCTTCTTTTTCTTCTCTTCCTTGGGCACCTTGGCTTTGCTCTTCCCTTGGCCCTTGGTGCCTTTCATGGGAGAATCATCAAGTTGGATTTCCAAATTTCTCAGTCCGCACCCCCCCCCCCAGGAAGAGGCGGTGGGCAAGGAAGCAGGAGGGCAGGTGGTGCGGAGTGGGAGGTGGCGAGCGAAGGGGGACCCAGGAGATGAGAAACAGAACACTCAGCCATGATAAGCATAAAAGAGGACAGACACTGATTTTTTTAAAAAATAATAATTTAAATTTAAAAAATTCCTCAGTTTAGCCATTCCTAACAAATTCCTCCTGCATTCCAGTTCTCAGAGGTCAGGGTGGCTTAGCCCAGAAGAGGTTTTCTCTTTGGAAAGCCAATATAAACTAGAAATATATGTGGCAGGTCCGCCAAAAAGCAAGGGAAGGTTGCAGGAAGACACTGTTTGAATCTAAGCCCAGATGTGTTTGATGATTTGTGACATTTGCATATATTATTTATATATTATGATTACTATTTATACTGCCCATCTAACCTGCGGTAGAGAGCAGAACCCCAGGACCCATGGGAGACTGGTTCCAAGCCCCCCCTACGTGGATGCTGTGTTCCTAACACAGGCCAGCCAGATGGGTCAAAATGGTTGAAACTGGACTCTTTTTTTGCAACGTGGGGGGAGGGGAGAGGGAGGGAATCAGCCCATGAAGAAGTTATTGTTTAGCACTACATCTCCAGAAATCTGGCCGGGTAGTCTCAAAAAGTAACTTTTCCAAGTTCTGCGATCAGGCGTGCAGTGATCCAGTTGTCAACTCCAAGAGGACGACGCCGAAATTCCTCAAAAACTGGAAACCAAGAGGGTTTTTTTTCAGTCTGAAATCCCCCCCAGTGTCGGTCAGACTCTCGGGTGGCCCCTCCCTCTGAGTGAATCTTCGTTTGTCCCTCCTCTCCTACGTACAGCCTTACAAACATTTACCGTCGGAAATTTCCAGCTCTTCCTTCTCCTCGGCTTCCACTGCAGCTGCCTCCTGTTGCCGAAGTAGCTGGGAAATTGACGGTAGAAGGAAGGAAGAGGTGAGCCGGGCATAACAGATCGTCCATCATGGGGTGGAGGATCATGCCTTCTACAAGGACTTGAATCGGTTGCTTCCTCCAGCATGAAGGACTCAACCATATTTGAGGTGGGAAGGCTAGTCCAAACCCCAGACATCAGGGAAGACCAGAAATGTCATTCCGAGGACCACACCTCAGAGTAGGACACCCTCCCCACTTAAGATAATAAGATATGGAGGACACCCGTTCCCATCAGCTGAAAGGACTGGAATTCTTCCTGTGAGCCCAATATAGCAGAGACAAATCGGAGGAAAAATGGCCTACAGAGTCCAACCCAAACTAACAGGACTTGGAAGAGCCAAGCACATGCCACACGGGATATGAACAGGCGGAATCTTTGTGCTGACACGTGTTTGTGCAAGGGAAATCATGGACATCTTGGGAGGAATGGCCACGGACAGCCTTCCTCGGCACACATCCCACCATGCTATTCGGGACGTGTGCAGCAATGCAATCCACGCCTCCTTTGGAGCAGGCTGCTCGCCCCCCAAGGCTTCTGCAATTTCCCTTACGTGGACGTAAACTGGCAACAGGATCCTCGGCAAGGCATTATCTCTTGCCCGTGGAGAACGGACTTGGGCAGGGGGATAACCCTGCCAGTCGAACCCACTGATGTTTTGGCATCGGCGTAGTGTGGGGGTCCCCTTCCATAGGGGCAACAGCCCCTCGTGCAAAAGTCTTGGGTGTGTGCAAAATTTCAGACCTGCCACGGAGCCATCAGGCAAGGCGGAGGACAGAGTGAGCGAGAAAGTGCGCGACCGTACCCTCCTCTCACAATCCCTCTTCTGGCTGCGATGGCCACACTTGCTCGCTTGCTCTGATCTGCCCTCCGGGCATTTGGTTCCGGCGGCAACAGCAGCAGTGGGGTTTGGCAATGGCCGAGGGGACCCGGGACCTCCGGAGAGGGCAGCCTGGAGGGTGAAGGGTGGCCTGGAGGGTGGTGAGGGGATGGGGGCTCCACCAGCTCTGAGCTCCCCCCCCCAAATGCCACTTCCCAAGGCAACCTCGATGGGGCTGGCCACCCAAACTACGCCACAGTGCTTTCCGGACGGCTCTGCATTTTCTTGCCATCTTAAGACAGAGCAGGGCCTGCAACCCGGATTTCCAGCCAGCCCCCTTCCCCATCTAGAGCCCCGTCTCGCCCCCTACCTCCTTCATGGTTTCAATGGAAGCAAAATACTTGGACCACCAGTCCAGGGTGCTCTCGGCGGGCTCCTCCTCCTCGCTCTCTTCCACCCCTCCTTTCTTCTTCTTCTTTTTCTTCTTCTCCTTCTCTTCTTCCGACTGCAAAAAGGGTGGGAAAAAAAAGAGGTAAACAACAGAGGGGGGGGGTTGTCAGGACTTGTCCTGTTTCCTGGGGCCACTGTGGTCCTCTCTACACAACTCTGCTCCCCCCTTTTGGAAGAGAGAGAAGTCTTTTCCTTTATTTCATTTTCGCCAGCCAGAAAGCCCCCACGGTATCTTCCCACAGTGTGAAAATGCAGCCCTTTTGGGCAGTTCGTTCCCACCTTTATTCCAAAGGAATAAAAGCTCTTTCTCTGGAACATGCTATGTCAGGGTCCCACGATGGGCCGTGTGTTCAGCCACCTAATATCGACTCCCCGAATCAACATAGAATCATCTTAGAAGTTGCAGTGCTGGAAGGGAACCTAAGGGATCCTCAAATCCATCCCCTCTCCAGGGGGTGGAATCAAACCCCCAACCTCTCGCTTCACAACCAGAGACCTCAACCACCGAGCATATTATTTGACTTCCCAGTCAGCTTGGACAGCCAGGCTCGCTCGGCAAAGAATTCTGCGCCTGCTTACATAACAGAATTCACAACTGCTCGCTCTACACTTGGAAGACATCTGGTTTAGGCCCTTTACAAAGCAGTCATTGAGAAGCATCTCTTGTCTGGCTGGCACTTGTTTAAGGAGTGGTTCAGATTTGGCTCAACAATTCTGCCTTGGGGTGCAAATTAGACGGGACACCCCGTAACCTTCATAAACCACCAATGGAGGAGAGGACCGCCACTCTTCCAGACCTTCCGCACCCATGCTTCTGCCTGCCCCACCTTCAGAAAAAAAAACTTCTAAAAGTCTTCAGAATGTCCTTGATCTAATATCTCCTCCCATTCAGGGCAGGGGAAAACAAACACAATAGGTTTTGTGCCAGCAGATGCAAATAACGCCTTCTGCTTTTATTAAGCAATGTATTATTAAGCCCATAGAATATAAAACACATTTTTTTAAAAAGCAGAAAAACATGGTTATGACAAAAATATGGTGTTGGAAAAATCCCACCCCCTTGTATAAATGAATACAATCAATTAAGAGCGATACACCGTGATATTGTTTTGCACACCAAAATTCTAGTTATGTTAGTGGCCCAGAGAGCGTGCAAGCAGGCATTCCCTCCCATAGATGAGAAAGGAGCCTATCGTCTAGATTCAGCTAGAAGACTTTTCATGGGAAATCGCTCAAGCAACTGTCACGTGCCTCCTAGGGAGGATTTGTTTATCGGAGCAAAACCAGCCACGAACGTTTGCTCATCTTTACAAGAGGCAGTCCCCCTTAAGCGATCCTTCGTGAAGGACACCCGGTGCTCCTTTGAATCTGCTCGTTCAGGCACTAGCTTTCTTCACCCCCAAACCTTCATGTCTCCTTTGGTGACTGCTGAAGCACAGTGCCCCGGGGAAATCCCTTCGCTGCTGATAAAACCTATCAATGGCATGAAATACACAATCCCCTTTAGTTGGATCCTTTGTGAAGGTATATGGGGCAGGGGGTCCCCTACTGCATTACTGCCACCCTCCTGACATCAGTTGCAGGGGGGTGGATTTTCTCAAAACCATCAGGCCCCGTCAAGCCCTCATCAATCCCAGTGGGATTGGGTGTCCCCAGTCTGAGCAATCTCATTTCCAAGAAGCTTGTTCCTTCGACTATTTACCCTTATTCTCTTGGGCTTTGCGCTGGCGCTCAGTTGTCAATTTACCCAGTAAAGTTGAGGTGAACCCATTTCCAGGTGATGGAGAAGCAGCATTGAGAAGAATGGTCTATATACAACACAATGTATGCAAAATCACAAAATCACAGACACAGCCGGGCCAAGCACAGCCATCACTTACCACATCCACCTTCACAACCGCATCCGAGTTCTGCCGCCCGGGAAAGGAGTAAGGGGAGAACAAGCGACGGTTACTAAAATACAGGAAAGCTGCAGCTGCACCAACACGTGGAAGTGCAAACATTATGGGCAAGATGTGCGGAGGTAACTGCAGGCCCAGCACGGCAAGCATGCAAGATGGAAGGCTACTGAATGACCCCAGAAGTCAACCGGAAAGGCATTCACCGATGGACAGTGAGGGCCTCCAAGAAATCGGGACAGTAGCCTCCAAGAAATACACAGCTTCTGTCTTTTAGTCATGCAGTCAAGGGGAGCAACAGATGCCATTTCAACTGTTTATGCAACACTGGAATAAAACGTGGGCAATTCACATGGCTTTCCGGCAGGAGGGAAGCAAAACCAAGAAGGTCACCATGAACGTTGGCCATGGCTGGGAGGAAAGTGTGGAGGGAGGCAAAGCTAACCAGGGATGCCGCAAGCCGGAGAGTGCAAGCCGTAGGTCGTTATGGAAGTTCGTGAACAGCCATGGTTGCATCCCTAGGAATCCTAGAATTTGTAGTTGGAGGTTCTTGCGTTTTTCACTGAGGGAAGGGCACCAGAACTCTCCAGCAGAAATATCTGTGAAGATTCTCAGTCGCCCAAGTGAGGTTCTCTGGAAGTGGAGTCATGGCCACTGGGCTTCTGTTTTGTTAGGTTGAAACGTTTCTCTACTCCTCCAAGTAGCTCCTTCAGTCTGAGGAGAGTTGGTAGGAGATTCCAAATATATCCTCTACATTGGTTTCATTAACCCCTGGAAGGGGTAATATGAATAGACTCCTTGGAAGGACAAAGGACAGGAAGTGAGGGATAATCCCAGTTCTGCAGTCCTTCTTCCACCCATCATCATGGGTCGTTAATGGTCGTTAACAGTCATCTTTCTGGAGGGTGTGGTCATGAACTTGACAGCCTAATCAGAAAGAAGTCCAGTTGCCAGGACTCAAATTCCAGATCCCCAGCAGAGAATTCTGAGTCTTCTGGACTAGCTGTTTCTGAAGCTGTAGAAGGGAACCACGGCAGTTCATGGAGTATCGAACTGGGGAACCCGACGCGCTCCAGAACTTGGTGTTCTGAACGTCAGGTTTCAGTCTGAACTGTGCAAGAGTGATCCCAGTGTCCTGAACCCTTGATTCCAAACGGATTCAGCGCCTTGGAGAGGTCCATGAAACTCCCTACCAAAACTTTCACTCCCTCAACATCAGAGTCCCTAGACCTCACGACTTAAGATGAGGGTGGGCAATATGGCCACGTTTGCCCCATGCTCAGGTCCCTAGTCTCCATTCTCTCTCAGAAAGTCTCCTCGTGCTCTCTAAAGGAGGATGGGGATCATTTTGCCATGGGGGGGACTACCCAAACTTTTGTTTTAAAAATGCTTTTTAAAGTTGAGAAGTGCTAAAAGTCACTAAGGACTGTTGTAATTTTTAAAATTAAACTGTTTTTTTCAGCTAAAAGGAACCCATAACCACAGTGTCCATAATATGTAACCACTTAGTTAGGTTTTTAACTGTAAAACAATAAAATATGCACATTAGTCTGTATAAGCCTATCCCTTAGTCGCATCTCTTTAGAAGGGCAGGCCTGGGGTTGCCACAGACTAAAAAAAGGGCTTCACCCCGGCTTAAGACTTCATGACTAGAATGAAATCTAGGGGGCTCAGCAAGCCACACACATCCATAAACTCACACTGAAAACACACTGAAAGCTTTGGAAGTCCATGCAACAGGCCACAACAGTGGGATCACAATCGGGATAATTTACCGTTGGAAGATCCAACTCCCAAGATCCCTCCCCTCCCCAACATGGCAGGGACTCTCTGGGGAATTATGGGATATGTAGTCCCAGAACAACCATATTCCCCTCTGCTTTGGATGACACCGACTTGGAGCATCAGCTGGGCAAAAGGCGCTTCCTGTCTCACCCTTGACATTCTGAAACTTACCGCTTCCAGCTTGACCATGGTCTCCATCTTTTTGATAGGCACCTCTGGCTCCATGTTGACCACAATTTCACCTGCGGGGTAAGAGTAGGGGCCTCCGTTGGCCAGGGCCACGTAGGCGTTCATGAGCTTGGCTGGACAGAGGAGGAGAAACACAGCACCGAGCACGCACAGAGAGAGAGAGAGAGAGAGAGAGAGAGAAAGCAGGACTGAATCATTTTAGGACAGAAAAGGACAGCACACGAGGCTGAAGAATGAAAAATAGACCAAAGGGATGAAGAATAAATAAGGGCAGAGCTTCTGCTCAAAGGAAAAATAACCCAGAGGTGTGAGAAGCTCAGAAGAATATTGAACACATATGAGCAGATTTATACGATAAACACTCCACTATTCAGAGATCAGCACAACGCCTTGCATCTGTGTTGAACGTCACATGAAAGTTGCCAGACCTATTATCTGAGCAGCTGTTTACCACGTTAAGTGTGCTTAATATTTCAGACGTCTGTGTGTGTGGGGGGTTTCAGAGGTGGTGGCCTGCTTATTAAGGAGACTCATGGAGAGCCCTCAGGAGGTTCCTGAGATTTTGAATCAGGAATTCTGCTAATTCCACGGGCTTCTTGGCTAGCACATGAGCTCTTGAGCAGAAATGCAAAACTCTACCTGTCTCCTCCGTTCCTGTGAGAATCAGAAAAGGGGAATATTCTCCTCCATCACAAGAGTGGCAAAGAGCAATGACCAGACAGGGTATAATTAATTATATTTAATTTATCAATGGCAGTCGTGCCAAACCAAGTTTTTCGCAAACAGCACCATTTGTGCAACATGCTTAATATTTCAGACGTCTGTGTGTGTGTGTGTGTGGGGTGTTCAGACGTGGTGGTCTGCTTATTAAGGAGACTCATGGAGACCCCTCAGGAGGTTGCTGAGATTTTGAATCAGCAATTCTGTACATTCCACGGGCTTCTTGGCTAGCACACGAGCTCTTGAGCAGAAATGCAAAACTCTACCTGTCTCCTCCGTTCCTGTGAGAATCAGAAAAGGGGAATATTCTCCTCCATCACAAGAGTGGCAAAGAGCAATGACCAGACAGGGTATAATTAATTATATTTAATTTATCAATGGCAGTCGTGCCAAACCAAGTTTTTCGCAAACAGCACCATTTGTGCAACACCGCACAATACAACAGAGTTCCGTAATTCAAGTCAAATGCACGGATAGCATAAAAACCAAGGCAGCTGCTACGAGGTTTCATCGACATTTCAGGACCTGCCCCAGGTCAGGACCTGCCCCACAAGAGGGGTTATTTTTGTTCCTTTCTTAGCAGCCAGATTTCCTGTACTTCCTTTCTCTAAATAAATAAATAAATAAATAAATAAATAAATAAATAAATAAATAAATAAATTTTATGTATCAATGGCGGTCGTGCCAAACCAAGGTTTTCGCAAACGGCACCATTTGCAACACCGCACAATACAACAGAGTTCCGTAATTCTAGTCAAATGCACGGATAGCATAAAAACCAGGGCAGCTGCTACGAGGTTTCATCCACATTTAAGGACCTGACCCCCCCAGAGGGGTTATTTTTGTTCCTTTCTTAGCAGCCAGATTTCCTGTACTTCCTTTCTCTATGTGTATCTCTCTCTCTCTCTCTCTCTCTCTCTATCTCTCTCTCTCTGCTCATTGAATGGGAAAGGACATTATGTGTGTGTGTGTGTGTGTGTGAAGAGTAAACAGAATAATTTAAAATCTTGATATGGCAATAGGTACAGAATGGATGAAAGTATGTTATTGTCTCCCCTCTTCCTCATCAATTCCAATTCCCTTTTCCTTTCTGTCATCCCTTAATTAAAAAATAAAAAAAAAATTAAAAAAGAGAACTGACTTAGAGCAACCCTATGAGGGCTTCCAAGGTAAGTGAGATATTTAAGATCTTGTTTTTACCAGCTCCCCTCTCCCAGACAGTTTTCATGGCTGAACAGGGGGATTCAAACTCGGTGCCTCCAGAGTCTTAGTCCATCGTTCTATCCACTACACTAATACTGGAAATCCTAGGAAGGACATTCGTTTTATACAAATACATTTTGCTCAAATCAAGCTGGCTGGATATCTCAAGGGTTTAGGTCTCTGGTTGCAGAGCCAGAGGCTGGGAGTTCGATTCCCCCTTGTGCCTCCTGGGAGAAGAGCCAGCCTGGGTAGCCTCAGGCAGGCTGCACAGTCCCGGGGATGCCCCCAGAAGAAAGGGAATGGCAAACTACTTTCTCTACCGCAAAAGCCCTTGGAAAGGGTGACCGTAAGTCTGAATTGACTTGATAGCACATCGTTATCATTAGCTAAATAGCTCAGGGAATCTGATTCCCCAGCCTGGGTGGCCTTGGGCCAGCTGCACAGTCTTAAGAGTAACCCCAGAAAAAAGGGAATGGTGAACCCCTTCTGCAGACTCTACACTTCGAAAGAGCTGGCTGGGTAGTTCAGTGGTTTAGGTCTCTAGCTATGCAGCCAGAGGTTGGGAGTTCAGTTCCTCCTCTGTGCCTCCTGTGAAGTAGAGGCAGCCTGGGTGGCCTTGGGCCAGCTGCACAATCCCAGGGTGGCCCCCTCAAGAAAGCAAGGGTGAACGACTTCTGAGTATTCTCTACCTGGATTACCCCGAAAACGACTGCCACAAGTTGGAATTGACTTGACAGCACATACAGTGGTGCCTCGCTTAACGACGTTAATTCGTTCCAGCGAAATCGCTGTAGAGCGAAAACGCAAAGCGAAATTAAAAAACCTATTGAAACCCGGTTAATGTGTTACAATGGGCTAAAAACTCACCGTCCAGCGAAGATCCTCCATACGGCAGCCATTTTCGGTGCCTGTATAGTGAGGAATCTGTCCCTAAGCACAGCGGGGAGCCATTTTGAGCACCCGGTGGCCATTTTGAAAACCCGACAATCAGCTGTTTTGATTGTGTTAATGCGAAGAATCGGTTCCCGAAGCAGGGAACTGATCTTCGCAAAGTGAAAAAAAAAAACATTTAGACCATCGTTTTGCGATCGCGATCGCAAGAACATCGCCGTGAAGCGGATCCGTCTCAATCTCAACTGAAGATGCAGGATCTCATGGTGCTTTTAAAATCTTCAAGTTGGTTCATGAACATAGCCTAAATCGACCAGGATGTGGAACCGACTGACTCTTCTTACATCCTTCTTCTGGAGTGTCTTGTTAAATCACGTTTTCCCCTCATTCTCTGCCCCCTTCCTTTCCCCTTCCACACCAGCCAATCCAAAGCTCTTTCTGGAGAAGGGAACTGTCACGTGGACTCCTCTACAGCCATCGCTGGGGCGCCCACCTCTTTCTCCAGAGCCTTTCCTTCCCGCTGTCCCCCACCCCCACCGGTTACCTGCAGTGCTCCAGTGCTGAGCCTTCTTATCGGGAGGCCTGTAGATGAATTTCCGCAAGGAGTTGACCGCATGGCTGCCCACGAGGGTGTAACGCCCGAAGGCGCGGCAGTCCACCACGCGGATGTTCAGGGGCGGGTGGAGGAGCTCGTTTTCGGGCAGATCCTGCAAAAAAAAGGAGAGCAGAAGCCGCTTGGGGTCGTCTTTGGGAAAGGAGATATCAAGATCAAGCAAGTTGAAAGGAACCTTCCGGGCAACCTCGACGGAGGCACCTGTTTCTCCTCGCTCTCCGGCTTCAGCACAGATAAAAAAGGAACTTACCACTTCAAACCACTTGACCAAGGTGCTGAAATTGGGGTTTTTCTTGTAATTCTGGATGAGGGAAGACTGGACTCCCCTTCCGGCGCACTCAATGTCCACTCTAGGTCTGTCCACCTGGGCCAAGTTGACCCGCTTCAGGTCCCTCAGTCCCCAGAATAAGATCTAGAGAGAGTTAAAAAAACATACAAGGTCTTGGGGACAATAATGGCAGCCGTTGTTTGGGTGGGAGGGAAGAATCTCTGAGAATTTCCAGGCCCGTCCCTTTGGGAACACACACCCCACGAGCAAAGCCAATATTAAGGAGAATTGCATCCATTCAGCTGGCCACGCCCTCTCTTTCTCTTTTAATGTAGGGTGAAACTGCAGGGCAGTCCAAGAATCTTTCAGAATTTGGGAAATGGTAATGATGAAAAGCTGAGGCTCCAATACTTTGGCCATCTCATGAGAAGAGAAGACTCCTTGGAAAAGACCCTGATGTTGGGAAAGTGTGAAGGCAAGAGGAGAAAGGGAACGACAGAGGATGAGATGGTTGGACAGGGTCATCGAAGTGACCAACATGAAATTGACCCAACTCCGGGAGGCAGTGGAAGACAGGAGGGCCTGGCGTGCTCTGGTCCATGAGAGTCACAAAGAGTCAGAGACGACTTAATGGCTAAGCAACAACAAAAACAATGATGAAAATCAGATTCACCATTAGTAAAAAGTGGAAAATCCACAGGGCCAAATGGTAGTTACATGAGAAGGACATGACTTTCACATTCTACGTTATTATGGGCTCCAGCTACTGGCAGCCAGCTCTTGGCTGAAGATCAGGAAAAACTTCTTAACTGTTACAGGAGTACAGTACAACAACAGCATCAATGACCTTGGGACCATGACCTTGGCTGGAGGCATCCAAGAGAAAACGGGACCACTCTCTGTCAGATCTGCTTTAATTTGGATCCCTGCCTTGAGTAGGTGGTTGGATTGGATGGCCTTAGAGGCCCCTTCTGACTCTTCTATGATTCTTCTATTCTATGGTTTGTTGGCTGTTCTGTTGGCTAGAGTTAGGAGTGGGGAAATCTGCACGGTCTCTTTTTCTCCTGCATTCCCATTTTTAAACTTCAGCCTTTTTTTTCCCCCTTGTTAAAAGCATGATCTGTGGATTTTGGTAACTTCTCCTAAAGTGAATTGAAGCAGGATTCTCCTCCTTCTGTAACTGGCTGACATTCAATAGCATTTAAAGAATCAGGACATACGGTACCTCTTTGCCAGATATGTGTTAAACGTGAGGATAAAAAAAAAAAGAGATGCCATGACCTTAATGTAGATCTAATGTGATTTATTACACAACGATTTAATGCCAGACTATTAAGAGTTTAAGAGGAACAAATTTGTCAGTTCCCCACAGTCCAGTTTTTTTTTTTAATCTAAATTTTCCTGCTTCAGTAGCAGATCGGAACTGACGACATTTGGGGGTCCCTTCTAGCTATACAACTCTATGATTCTATGGCTAGCATTTGGTTGGCCGAACTCACAGCTGTTAGCGAGCTGTGGCAGATGTGATTCTGACACCAGATGGGTCATTTAAGCCTCTGTCCAGCTAAAGATGCTGAGCATGGTGATGGGCAAATGGATGTTGTGGCCCAACAAACACCATGCTCAGCACATCCTATGGCTGGATTGCGCAATGCCTTCTCCTAATGTCACTTCCTATTCTGCATGCACAGGGTGACACCGTGGAGTCACAAACAGGATTATAGCTTGTGATTTTTAGAAAGACGGTAAAGACTGAATTATTTAAAGCTGCCTTTAATAACAGACTCTCCAGAATGAACCCATAATAACTTTTTTTTAAAAAAAAACTAATTCCGGAGTTTTAGATAGTTATATTTATGGCTATTATTACTGTCTATTGCATTGCCATGGTGCTTTTGAAATTATTTTTTAGTTATTGTGGGTTACTGAGGGTCGTAAGTTTTTATTTTGTGTAAACCACCCACTGTAATGCTTGCACTAATGGGGCAGTCGTATAAACACTGTATGAACAAATGAATGAATAAATGAATGATTCTAAGTCCCATTACAAAGATGCTTGAGAATTTGGAACATTCTTACATTAAAAAAAAAAAGAGAAGGATTGCATCAAGTTGAACTGAAACTCCCATTTTTAGCTGTTTGGCTCAGGATAGTTCATCTTCTTTTTCTTATTTAAATTGCTTGGTAAGATTTTGTGTTACGAATGTCTGGAATCCATTCTCTTTCAAGCTGTTATTTTGATCTAGTACAGCGGTTCGCAACCTTGGGTAACCCAAGTATTCTTGCAGTGCAACTCCCAAGAACCCTGGCCAGCAGAACTGGTGGTGAAGGCTTCTGGGAGTTGTAGTCCAAGAACACCTGGGTGACCCAAGGTTGGGAACCACTGATCTGGTATGATTTTTTAAAAAGCCCATCATGTGAACCCATCTGTCTGAGCCTGGAATCCATGCACAAGATGGTCCTCCAGTGTAGACAGGCCAAAAGAGACATCCATGGATTCATGTTAACCATAAAAGAGCATCGGAAAAGCTTCAGCCTGTCTGAGTACCTCCACTCTGTATTTGCTCAGCACCGGTCGGATCCCTAGTGGCACGGGCAGGATGGGGCCCCGGTCCATGTCTGTGGGTCCATCAATGGGAGGTAAATCTGCCTTCCCGGTTGGGCCAATCTGGAAGAGAGAGGAAGGGAGGCTATAAAGGAACTTTTTCTATGGGTATCATCACATCCCCTCCTCCTGCCTCCCTCCCCGCCCCTTTAACAAATATATACCCCAACCAGCGATCACAATGCTTCCATCCAGTTCTGTCCATCAGAAGGTCAAGGCTTCCCATCCATGCATCAGCTACGAGACAGTCCACAGGTTTTCACTGGGAACGTCTAGAACCCTTAATCACGACCATGAGGATCTAGTTCAGAAAACGGTGCCTTGCAGAAACCACGTTAACTCCCCATGTTTTCTTTCCGGTAGCATGATTTCGAAAGTTTGTCTCCAGCGTTCAAAATGGTTCTGATTGCTGTTGTCTTGATGGAAGTCGTGCAGATTCCAGACCTCGGTTACAGCCACGCAGGCTTCTAGACTCACCCAGAGAAAAGCTAAAGAAGGCAGAGAGACTCTGAACATGCCGGTCCATGTTCTAAGATGATTAAATTTGGGAAAGGAGCCAGGACAGGGGAGGGTCGGCGGTATGGCTAGTGTGAATGGACACCTCTCCCCAGAAGTCCCATGCAGTACCTTTCAAGGCTACCCACATGCCAAGACACCCTGCTCCTGTGAGTGACATTATAGAGGAAAAGTCCATTTGGTGAGTGGGGAAACAGGCGAGCAAAACATGGCACGGGCCACCTCATGCCAATACGGAGTGGAGCGCAGACAATGCCAGATATATGTGCTAAAGAAATTCAGCGTCCGGTCAAGGTATTCTACAGTGCAGAGAAGTCCTCAGGCCAACAAGGAGCGTAAGAGCACATCAAGAATCACGTCAATGGCGTCCGAACAGCCACCGTTATTTTGGGAGGCACCTTGATCTGTGGCACGCACGGATCGGTGGCCGCCAGCAAGGCCCCCCTGATTTCTTCATCATCGTAAGGAAGCTGAGAAGCCAGAAGCCAAGGCAGAAAGAGAGGATGAGAGAGAGAAGAGGCAGAGAGAGAGACAGAGAGAAGGGAGAGAGCCACAGATACAGTCGGACCAGGCCCACACCCTCAAAGAGGCACCACCGAAAGCAGATGGAGAAGCCAAAGTCCGCTTTCAAAGAAGGAAAGGAGAGGAAGTCCAAGAGGTCCCTTCTGGCCCACTGAAGCTCCATTCGCACACAGCACCAGCTCCTCAGGTGCCATAAGAGAGAGAGAGAGAGAGAGAGAGAGAGAGAGAAGGGAGAGAGCCACAGATGCAATCAGGCCAGGCCCACACTCTCAAAGAGGCCCCACCGAAAGCAGACGGAGAAGCCAAAGTCCACTTTCAAAGGAAAGGAGAGGAAGTCCAAGAGGTCCCTTCTGGCCCACTGAAGCTCCATTCGCACACAGCACCAGCTCCTCAGGTGCCATGACAGCAGAAAAAACTGAGCAACCATCAATTCTGGCATTTCTCAGCATCCGTATCGCCTCCTTCCACCAAGAACGCTGACCTACACACTCGATGCTTTCCTGGTTGCGTCCTCCCATCCGTCTTGTGCGAGAGAGCAGGATTACAGATAGGGCCGTGTTGGGCACTCATCCAAACTTTGGAGATGAGCCTGGTGGGGGTGGGAGATGCTAGTCCCTGCTTCTGACTGTAGGGGGTCCCATGATAAAGAACAGGGGGACGAATTTAAGCATCTAAATCCATTCCTAAACTATTTGGTTGATTAATCCACTGCAGCTTTTGTTGATTAACTGAAGGAGATCAGTTCTAAGAAACACAAATGAGAATGAAGACCCTATTTATTGGTAGCCTTCTTTGGGTCTGGTGTGTGTATATATGTCTGTGTACATGCATGCGTGTATGTGTGTGTGTGTGCATGCAGGGGTGTAGTTGGTTCATTTTCTAACAGGGAATGATGGGCATTTGCCTGCTTGGTTATTTTATTTTATTTTAATTCTTTATAGGCCACCTTTCTCCCAGTGGATCCAAGGCGGCTTAGGGTATTAAAAGAAACAAAGTTAAAAGCCAAATTATTAAATTGCAATATTTAAAAAGCATTAAACAAATTCCGTATTAAAACTCAGAATAAGAGCAATATTGAAATCACAAGTGAAACAGAGAATTAAAAGATCCCTTTTATGCACTTCCGGCTTCTTTCAATACAGTGGGGTCTCTACTTAAGAACGTCTCTACTTAAGAACAATCCAACTTAAGAACAGCTCCATTTGCTAAATTTTGCTTCTACTTGAGAACAGAAATCCAAGATAAGAACAGAAAAAAAACCTTTCCTGCTCATTTTTTAACCTTAGGTCATCTTAGGTTAAAAAAAATTCTCCCCCTAGCGGTAGAGTACGTATTAACCAGCTTTGCATTAGTTCCTATGGGAACTAATGCTTCAATGTACGAACGCACCTCTACATAACAAAAAAAAAAAAAAAAACAGCCAAAACGGATTAATTGGTTTTCAGTCCATTCCTATGGGAAATTTTGCTTCAACTTAAGAACGTTTCAACTTAAGAACGCAATTCCAAAATGGATTAAGTTCTTAAGTAGAGGTTCCACTGTAGTTTCTATAGACGGAAAAGAGCAGATACGGATTAAATGGTTTTCAATGCATTCCTATGGGAAATGCAGATTCAACATAAGAACTTTTCAACTTGAGAACCACCTTCCAATACGGATTAAGTTCTTAACTAGAGACCCCACTGTATCTTAAGACATTTGTGTAAAAACAGAATGAGTGACGTTTAAGAGTCAGAAGCCCTGGAAGGGTTCTTTTCTTTTCTTTCTTTCTTTCTATTCCTTCCTTCCTTCTTTTCTTTTTTCTTTCTCTTCCTTCCTTCCTTCCTTCCTTCCTTTCCTTCCTTTTTCTTTTCCTTCCTTTATTTCTTTATTTCCTTCCAGAACAAACCTATCAATTCTGAAGGAAATCAACCCTGAGTGCTCACTGGAAGGACAGATCCTGAAGCTGAGGCTCCAATACAGTACTTTGGCATCTCATGAGAAGAGAATTCCTTCCTTCCTTCCTTCCTTCCTTCCTTCCTTCCTTTCCAATCAGTCTTTTTGCAGCTGCTGTATCTGTGCTTTGTTTTCCAGGGAAAAACTGTGTTCCTATCACAAAGCATGCTGATTAGGGTGGGCACTCCTTATTTCACTCTTGGCTGGAGGTCCAGAATCTTGCAGTACTAGAACATCTTTCCTTGAGACGTCTTGTCCAGTTGAGGCTGTCTGACGTCACGAGGAATTCTTCACACACTAAGCAACCCCTCTCTGGATCTCTGTCTTTAACCAGAATCATCTCATAGAATCGTCGTAGGGTTAGGAGGGACCTTGGAGGTCTTCTAGTCCAACCCCCTGGGGCTCAAAGCAGGAGATCTCAGACCATCCCAGACCTCAGACTGGGAGGTCTTCTAGTCCAACCCCCTGCCCAGACTGTCCCGGACAGATAGCTGCCCGATCTTTTCTTGAAAACCTCCAGCAGTAAGAACCACATGGCCCAAACCAGCTTTAACCTCCTAAGAGGAGGTCTCAGAGATGGTTCTATTCCCGTCATCTGGTTTCATCTCAATGCCCCAAGAAGTGAATTCATGGTGGACCCCCTTACCTGGAGCAGCTCAAAGGCAGCCAGCAGGTCTCCTGCGGTGGAGTTGCCCCGGTAAATCTGATAGTACTCCAGCTGAGGTGGGAAGCGAGGGGGGCAGTATTCCTCGTCCGCCATTTTCACCACAGGCTTGGCAAACGTTCGGCCCATGAAGTCAGCCTTGCCCTGGGGGTGGGGGTGAGGGGTGGGGAAAGAAAGATGGCGTGAGAGCTTGGTAGCCCTGGAGGAGAGGAGTCCTTCCTCTGCTAGGGCCGACAGCTGAACTGGGGCTAGGCGAGACGGAAACGTCACCCAAGAGGGCAAGGCAAAAGATGGAGTCTCCGCCAGCGCCTACTTTTGGCAGATAAGGACTGGGGTGGGGGGACTTCAGTCCAAAACCGACAGATCAGAGACCCCCTGAGATCAGTCTAGAGAAATCAGCACAAAGCAGGGGTGGAGACTCGAGTCGTGGAACTCATGGTCAAGTTGGACTTAATTTGCACCCGTGACTCAACTCGGGTAATTTATTTTCAAGGGCACAGACTTGACCCCTGACTGCGAACCCTCTCAGCCTTTCCTTTTGTCGGGGGGTGGGATTGTTTTTAATAGGGACTTGGATTTGGGACTTGGTACCAAAGATTCAGACTTGGGATTTGGCCCTAAAGATTTGCCGAGATCGCTGGCACCAAGACAGGAAAAGGTACTTTCCCAACCTCTGGGAAAGACGCCTGGGACGGAGGCGTGCAGGGAAGATAAAAGGAGGGAGGAAACCGAACACTGATCCACCTCTTCCACTTCCTGTTTTGTCGACCTTATTCCCCCCCAAAACCCATTTCAGATGCATCACAAGCTCCAGATTCCCAGACTTCAGTTGGCTGTTGAATATCTAACCCTGGCCAATATGCTGTTGGGAGTCCCAGCGAGAGTGGATTCCCTGAATGAATGGGATTTTCATAAATGTTGACTTTTCATCCAGGAATCGATCAATTTCAGCCCTCTTGCCAATCCCAGTGGACCAAAGGCTCAACACTTCATTAGGATTAACCATAGGATACTGGCCAGTGGCTTAGACATGTCGATGAAGATTTGGAAAAAAAGGGGGGGCATTTGGAGATATTCCTAACAGGAGGTGCACAGTGGCTTGGCTTTGGAGGAATTAGATATGGAATATCAACGTGATGTGAAGCACCTTCCAGGTAAGAGGCTTTCAAAAGAGCCCCTTTGGTGTTTCTCAGGACCTGGGGATCCCCACGACCTTCCGCACCCCAGGCTTCTCTCACCACTGTGTCCTGGTCATAGATCTCGATGACAATGATGGGAGGATCATCTCGCATCTCATGGGCTTCCCCGTAGAGCTCCACGTTGTCAAAAACCAGCAGCTGATCCCAGGTGGGGCAGAGGGTCTCGTTGAGAACCTGGAACATTGTGGGAAGAGACAAAACCCAGCCCCTCGTTCAGACCTCTGGCCAATTCCCTTCACATTCCACTGGTGTCTTTCCCGAATCAGGAACCACTCCGTTCACCTTGAATTTTGTATTTCATGTCAGTCTTGCAACACCTCTTTTCAGCTGAATAAGTTTGATTTGTCATAAGCTTTCATAGAGTGCAACATGGTGTGTTTTTTTTTTAGAGGCATGATCTCTGAGGAGCATCAGAGCGCATTCCTCGGTCTATCCAACCCCGGCTGCAGCTTCTGACGTGACTCGAAATTTCATCTCCACAGAAGATCATCGGGCAAGACCCATGTCAGGCCGAGATGAGTGTCCCCGTTGGTCCCAGGGGTGGGTTTCAGACCCCTCCCCGATCCCACAGTGGGGCATCGCTGGCTTTCTGTCCTCTGGAGCAGTGTGCAAGCAAGCAGAAACGAGGGCTGGGTGTTGTTTGGTGGAGCATTTTAAGGACTGAAAATAAGATGTGAGCATCTTGTCCCCACTGCTCCCTTGCACCCCAGAATCCAAGAGCCGCCGAGGGCTCCAGCAGCCCACCAGCCCCCACGTGGTCAACCCCTGAGTTGAGAGCGAAGGGGCCACCCATCTTACCTCGGTGCATTGGCTCTGGGTGATGAAGAAAACCCGGGCGAAGGGGTCGGAGAGGCCGCTGCTGTCCGCCGCAAACAAGCTCCGGGCTTGGTACATGTGGACGCGTAGCTGGAAGACCTGTTTCTCTGTGAAGGAAAGGACAGGGCAGGAAGAACGGAGGCTGGAGCAGATTTCGGGAGGGAGAGAGGTCGCATCCGAGGGGGGACGGGAGGGAGGCACCGTGATGGGACTTTGGGACACGCCAGCCTTCACGTGTCCAGCCACTTCGTCCGCGTCTCTTGGGACCCTGGGAAGGATGCGGCTGCTCCCACAAACCCCCCACCCCCAAATTTCCCCCCTACAAAAACGTGGGGCTACCAAAGGCAAGTTCATGTCTGCTTCCTCATGGCCGATACAAAAAAAGAAATTGGGAGTGGGGAGGCAGGAATGTCCGGGGCTCTTTAAAAGGCGTCAAAATTCCTCCAAGGCTAGAAAAGGACTTTGGGGGGGGGGTTGTCTATATTTCCCCCATTTCAAAAAGCCACCTCTTTCTGGTGTGTGTGGACGTCCTCGGAGCCACTTTCCCTCCCAAGGCTGCCCCCTGAAAAACAAAAACTGAAAGCCAGCTGAAAGACGGAGCCGCTCAGCATCTCCGGCGGGGTGTCCCAGGGCCGGCCCTGTCGTTGGGCACAGTGAGGCAGCTTCCGCGAGCAGGAAATCACCACCAAGGCCCCCAAGGAATCCCTTGAGTGAGCCTCCGGTCAAAGGGAAGATTCAGCGGCCGGTCCAATGAACGTCGCAGGGGGAACCAGTGGGCCACCATTTTGTCATTGGCCTCAGGCGGCCAAATGCCTTGGGCAGCCCCTGCTTGATCTCACTCCGGAGTGGCGGAAGAAGGCCCCCGGCCCCGTGGAAAGCAAGTGGGGGATGCTCTTACTGGTGTAGTGGAGGCTGATGGGGGGAAAGTTTGCGATGCCCTGTCCTCTGGGCAGTTTCCTCTCTTCGAAGCCGCAGGGCAGGCCGCTGAGGAAGTCCCTCCGTTGCTTGTTCAGCCCCAGCCACAGGTAGATCTCCATCTTGGCCTGCACGGTCCAGCCGGCCGGGCCAAAGCCCCGTTTCCCAGGCAACTGAGAAGGGAGGAAAGAGGAGCACTGAGCAAAAACTGAGATTCCTTTCTTTGTACCCAGGTTCTCCTTTCTGCCCTAGATCTGAACTCGGGCACCCACACCGCACGCAGGTCTTCATTCAGCGCAGAGCTAAACTGTGGGTTCTCATAACAAGGCCTGGGATATACTTGGTTTGTGGACTACAACTTCCACAATCCACTTATGAGAGTGGCAGTTCCCAGAAAAAATCAAACTTCCCCCATTTCTGCAACAGTGTGCAGGACTAGAAGCTTAGATCTGTTTTGTTGTTTCTGAAGAATCTTCTTAAGTGCCAGAAAGGCTAAAATTCACCACCATGTGCCCAAGCAAGCATGTTGACATTTCAAAGAGTTTCGTGTTTTAGAAATCTATGAAATACTCTTTATTGGTGGCTCACGAACTCTGGAGGAAGTAGCAGGATTTCCTGTTTTCAGTTAAATTCTTCTGAGTGTATGAACTAGAACAGCAAAAACTTCCCCCGTTGAACCTCATTTCTAGAAATAATGCCCCCAACCCAAGACAATCACGGATAACCATGCTCCCAGTATCCTCAGGCCAGGTGGGTGTTGGGGGAAGATGATGGGCAGACAGTTCTCATCCCTGTTGCTCTCGAAAGAACAGGGCAGAGAAGTATGTTCTACCATGCACACATTATCTATTTTCACCCAAACCTCGTTCTACCTGGATGGACCTGGAAGGATGCAGGCGACATTGGGGCGCATCCGGATGAGTGGATGAAAAGGCTCCACTTTTCTCATGGCACGGACTGTGGCTTGGGAGGCTGATGATGCTCAGGCGCTACCTCTGCATTCTGGCCATGGGAAGAAAAGGGTGACTCCAACTCTGCGGGGGTGCTTTGAATCCACTCCAGAGTTTACACTGCACTTTATTGGAGTCTCCCAAGGATAGGGCATAAGGTTCAGCACCTGAACAGCTCCTTTAAAGGGCTGACTAAAACCTGGACTGGATTCACGGTGCCCCTGAAACTGGAGCCCCTGACAGCTGCCACTGGTCACAGGAAACAGACATATCCTGGGTCAGACTCTTGGCCCAGCCAGCTCAATACTGCCCAATGAGGCTGGTAGCCATGGGCCCTCCAGGTTTCAAGCCAGATCCTCTCCTAGCCTTCTCTGGAGAAGCTGCCTGGGATTAAACTGGGACCTTCGGCAGTGGAAAGGAGGGTCTCCATCACTGAGCTTTGCTCCTCCCCTGAGCTCAAAAAAAAGTCATTTCAGGGGATTCTGGGAATCGTTGTCCAGCAAGCAACTTTTCCAGGCTCCACCCCTCCTGTGGTTGCTTGGCCTTCACCAGTTCACAGCCCCACACCCCATGGTGGAGCTTTCATACTCTAGAGAAGTTTCACTTGTTGAATGGTGAAGAAACCATCACCTACTGGATTTCTGACAGCCACACAACTCTTCAAGTTGTACGATCCCTCTCCCTCCTTGTCACTCCAAGTGCCAATGGTCAAGGGAGAGCCGGGTTGGCCTCTCATGTTCCCGCCACCCCACAGCCTTTGCCCCCTACCCTCCTCCTCTCTCACACACACACACATCCTCCCTCCCTCCCTTTCTTAGCCAGCGAAGGGAAGTTCAGCTCACCCTCAGGAAGACTGTTTTCACTTTCCCGCAGTCTTTGCCCATCTCCTCGTCCACAATAGAGTAGAGGATGTCCTTGGAAGGGATCCGGGCGTAGGCAATGCGCTTGTTGTTGCTGACCATCCAAAGGAAGATGTCCGGGATGCTGTGTTGAGGCTGCAGGGGAAGGACACCGGCAGGAAATGTACCATATTTTTCCATGTATAAGACTATACTTTTGTCTAAAATCTTTAGACTAAAAATTGAGGGTCATCTTATACACGGAAGTAAGCTGAGGAGAGAAAAAACAAGTGGCAGGGAAAGCAGGGATCAAAGTGATCCTGCAGGGTTTTGATCCTTGTTTCCCCCTCTACTTGCTAAGCCTTAGCAAAAGGAAAGCAGGGATCAAAGTGCTGCAGGATCGCTTTGATCCCTGCTTTCCCCTCTGCTTGCTAAGTCCCATGGGGCTTAGCAAAGGAGGGGGGAAGGCTCAAAGCTAATCCCATGGCTGTATAAGGGAGAAAGGAATCAAAATGATTGTGCGGTCGTGGGATTGCTTTGATCCCTTTCCCCCTCTTTTTACTAAGCTCCGCGGGGCTTAACACAAAGGGAGAAACCAGGGATCAAAGCTATCCTGCAGCACTTTGATCCTTTTAACCCTACATTTGCTAAGCCCAACTCAGATTTCTTAATTTTGGGTTAGAAAAGTGGGGGGCGTCTTATACACGAAAAAATACGGTAAGTATCTGAGAGGAGCCAGATTAGGCCCAAGAGGGACTCCTCTGGGCCAGCGCTCTGTTTGCACAAGGTCGATCCGATGCCCTGGGAAGAAACCCAGAGGAGCTCCCCCTCCTGCTCTGGCTTCTTAGCAACTGAGGGACACAAAGAAGAAGGGAAGGTCAGGATCCGACCACAGTAACAGAGTGCCTGGAAAATCACCACAGAGGGTGCAGTGAGGTCTTGACGGCACCGTTGGTTAGACAGACGGGCCTCACCACAGCTGCTTCGATGATTTCCCTTACATGCGCCTTAATGTGGATCGGATCCTGACCAAAGACAGAGAAAGTGGAAGAACCCAAAGCCCATTTCTTCCTTGGCCACCGTCAGGTAAGACTCTGGTTATTTGCAGGACGACAGAGTTTGTAACTGAAAATATCAACTGTTATTAGACTCATTCAATATTTAGAGAAACAATAATATAGTAATATTTTGAGAAAACCTACACTAAAAAAAAAAGTCCAGGAATACACGCTTGGACTGCCTCATAGCAACCGGTAAGAACCAGAGCAGATCTTTGGTAAAGTGAATGGCTCCTAATTGCTAGTTTGAGACCAACTGACCCCCAAATCCTTTCTATTACAGCAGGGACCCGTCATTCCTAGGGGGTTGATATTTCTCTGCCAGCATCTCGCAGGCAAGCTGGAAGACAGCAGATGAACCCTAAGAGAGAAGGTCTCAGCCCATGCTCCTCTGAACGTCCTGCGCTTTGGAGCCCAAGCGCTCTCCCAACCCACTGAGCAGGGTTCAAGGTCGGTATGAATGAGCCGAGACCCCCCCCCCGCCTCACCTCGTCGGCCAGGAACCGCAGCTTCTGCAGGAAGTTCTGAGACTGCTTCAGCTTGTCCCGGATGGTGGTTTTCTTCACCTGGGAGCGCATGGTCTTCGCCTGCTGGCCCATGGTCTCCTGCAAGGTATCGGGTACAAGAGGGAGGGAGAGTCACCACATGGAGACACTCTGCGGGGCACAGGAGATGAGAACATGCACGGCAGTGACTAGAGTTGGAAGAGTTACTTTCTTTGAGCGAGGGGACAGAGTTCCTCCATCAGCCTGGAGTCATCTCTCCTTCCAAAAAATACTTTTCTAGGTTGGGGCCTTGACTCAGTCTTCCTGCCCCATAAAATGGGAATCCTTGTGCGAACATGGAGGGTCCTACCAAGGTCTAGGCATGGACAGCATCCTCCTGGAAAGGGGGCTGTAATGGAAAAGACGTTTCCTCCTTTTCCTCCTAGAACAACGTGGATCCGATGCGTGGAGTGATCTGTCTGGCTGAAAGCTGTGGCCCCTTTTAGGAACAAAGGGTTCAGACCGAGCAATGCAGTTGTTGAATTACAAGAGCGACCTAGCCTGTAATCCAAAATTTAAAATCTCTGAATTCTCATGGGTATCAATGGGAGAGACGACAGGGTGAGCTTAGCTCCCTTTCACTGAAATCAAGGGCTCAGGAGCAATTGACACAGTTTAATGGAAGACACCATTTTTATATATATATATGGGGATGGGGCCAAGCCTACAACCTAGCATTGCCTTCATCAGTTCCTTCTGATGGGTGCTGGTGAAATCCACCGCTTCTTGTCTTGCCAGAGCGAAGACCACCAGCAGCAGCTCTTAGCAGGTCACCCTGTAAACACGTCAAAAGCTTATCCGTGAGTCCCTCTCCTCCAGTACTGCATACACCTCCCCCAGAGTCCTGTGTTCCAGTTCTGGACACCATAGTTTAACAAGGATGCTAACAAACTGGAACAAGCTCAGAGGGAGGGCAAGAAGGATGATCACAGGGCTGGAAACCAAGGCCTATAAGGAGGAAAGGCTGAAAGAACTGGGCATGTTTCGCCTTGAGAAAAGAAGACTTAAGGGGAGATAGGAGAGCACTTTTCAAAGACTTGAAAAGGCTGTCATCCGGAGAAGTGGCAGGATCTGTTCTCAAGAGTAGACCTTTGGTCTAGATGGGTGGGATAGAACTCCAATAAATAAATAAATCATATAAATAAACCATCCCAGGCGGGATAGAAATCCAATAAATAAATCAATCATATAAATAAACCATCCCAGAGTGCAAGACAGGTTATAATGGGCTTCAGCTGCAGGAAGCCAGGTTTCGGCTGAAGATCAAGAAAAACTTCCTAACTGTTAGCGCAGTACAGCAATGGCATAAATTACTGGAAGTGTTGAGCGCTCCATTTCCTAACTGTTAGAGCAGTACAGCGATGGCATTAATTACAGGAGGTGTTGAGCGCTCTGACTCCGGAAGCATTCAAGAGAAAATGGGGCAACCCTTTGCCAGATTCGCTTCGGCTTGGATTCCTGTCTTGAGCAGGGGGTTGGACTCGATGAGGCCCCCTTCCAGACTCCATTGTTCTACGATTCCATGAGGTGAGGCACTCACCAGTTCCCGCATGCAGGCTTTCAGCCTCTCGCGATCCAACCGTGTGCGTGTGGACTGGTTCTGGTCTTTGTTTGCAAGGGTCACAAACCGCCTGGGAAAGAAGACAGAACGGGGTGCCCGTGAAAACTCAAAGGAAGGAGAAGGTGGGTGGAGGATCGGGCATCCACGTAAGAGTTAAGCGTTCCCCTCACCAACTGGAGCACCTTTCACGTGGATTCGGCCGAAACTCGCCGTTGCTCCTTCCACAAATTCTAGAGGAGGCCTGCAACCCTAAACTTAATTTCTATGGGCATTAGGTAAAAATTAGCCTGGAATAAATTACTCGGGCAAAACTAGCTGGTTGGAGCGGAAACACAAGAAGACATGCTCGGCTTTTGAGAGGAAACTCGTACACCTTGTCAACAAACCCAGTTGGAAGGGAGAAGGTGGATCTGTGACGCATACAAGAAGAATCTTAGACCTTTACATTCAAGTGCTGGTAAATGTGTGGTCCTCCAGATGCAGTTCGACTCCAGGCCCCATTAGCCCCAGTCTAACCAATGGTGAAGTCTGATGGAAACTGAAGTCCACCAACATCTAGAGGGCCTTGAGGTTCCCAACCCATTTTAAACACACCCTAACAAGCTGGGTCTCCCCCTGTCCACTCTCTCCGTCATCCCCAATGCTCTCCAAAGAGCACAAGGAAACAGTCAAAGTCCTTGAACCTTATTAAATTCCTCCTTTACCAGCCTAAATATATAAAAACATAATTGCACTCCTTTTGATACTTTTTAAAAAAAGATTCCACCCCAAAAGGGAGTGGAGACCTGTGTGAGATAGTTACAACTGCAATGTATCACGGTTGCGACCTCGACTTCCAAATGTCCCTACATATAAACTTTTTGATTTACGGACAGCTCCATTCGCAAAAATTGGCATCGACTTGCAAACGGAGCCTCGACCTACGAATGAGGTTGAGGCTCCGTTCTCAAGTCAATGCCATTTTTTTTTTATGAACGGAGATCGGCGTCTTCAGAGGTCTCAAAGGGACCCCCGACATTGGAGGAAACCGTTTGATACCTTTTTTTAAATGCTGGAATGGATTAATTCCGTTCCCATGCATTTCAATGGAAAATGGTACTTCGATTTACGAACTTTTCGATGTACGAACACTGTTCCAAAATGGATTAAGTTTGTAAGTCAAGGTACCACTGTACAAGATGAAGCTATCAGAACTAGCCAGTAGGGGGAGCCAGAGACCATGCTATGTATAGTATAAAAGTGTTTGAGATAATCTGTGTTTTTCAGCATTGGTGGGGGGAGAGACCTTTGAACTTTGAATGCATCTGCCTGATGGGAAGGGGAACAGAACTTCTGCTCTTTCCAGTTCTAGGCTGGCCTTTCTCTAAGCCGGAGCGTAGCTGACTCACAGGCATCCACTGCTCAGCTCTTCCAAGACCCCTCGGAGTCGGCGTTCCGGGTGAGGCTTCTCCGTCTTAATCATCTCGTGCACATCGTTCAGGCCTTCTTCCTGCAAGATCAGGATGGAACCCTTTTTAGCCTAGGAAACCAGCAGTGACCGGTGCCTATCTGATATTTTCAGAAATAGGGAAGGGTTTTTTTTGGGTTGGGGTTCTAAGGGAAAGAGGAGAAGGGGACGACAGAGGACGAGATGGTTGGACAGGGTCATCAAAGTGACCAACATGAATTTGACCCAACTCCAGGAGGCAGTGGAAGACAGGAAGGCCTGGCGTGCTCTGGTCCATGGGGTCACGAAGAGTCGGACACGACTTAACAACTAAACAACAACAACTAAGGGACCATAGCTCCCAGAATCCCAGAAACAGCGGGTCACGTTGGCTCTGGGATTACGGGAGACATCGTCCGAAAGACCCCACAAATGTTTCCTGTCTCTGGCCCTCTTGGGAGACTCTTCCTGTCTCCTTGCCGCCAACCCTCTTACCAGCTTGTCCGCAATCTTGTCCATGATGTTGGAGTTGTAAAGGCGTCGCCTCTGGTCCTGCCACCAGCTCTTGATGTAAATGCACGGCTTCTTGTCGAAATACGCCAGGTGGAAATAATTCCTAAAAAGAACCGGAGGAAACCAACCCTAAGCTGTGGTTCTTCTTTCCTCCTGCAGTTGTAAAATGTGCCCCCCTCCATCTCTTTTGTGAACAGGCAATGAAGACATGCTGGCTGGAGAGCTCAGTGGTTTAGGCATCCGGCCGAGGAGCCAGAGGTTGGGAGTTCGATTCCCCCACTTGGACCTCCAGGGAGAGGAGCCAGCCTGGGTGGCCTTGGGCCAGCTGCACAAGTAATCCCAGGGCACCCCCCAGAAGAAGTGGACTGTAAATCGCTTCGGAGTATTCACAGCAGTTAGAAAACCCTGAAAAGGGCTGATATAAGTCAGAATGGACTTGACGGCACATGATTATGAAGAGACTGCTGGATAGCTCAGTGAGTTAGGAATCTGGCGGTTGGGCCTTCTGAGAGTAGAGTCAACCTGGATAGCCTTGGGCAAGCTGCACAATCCCAGGGTGACCCCAGAAGAAGGGAAACCACTTCTGAGCCCTCTCTACGTGGGAAACCCTGGAAAGAGTCACCATAAGTCAGAACTGACCTGACAGTATCCCGTTATTCATATTATCAAGGCACGGTAGACACCGTAGGTGTCAAGAATGGCAAGAAATGGCAGAGGGGCCACATCCATGCATTCACTATTGTGGAGCATTCAGGAAACGGACACGGGACTTCTTCTTCCCACGCTAGGGCCCTCCCGATCACCCCCTTTCTCTCCTCTCTTGGATCTGAGATGGCAAAGAAGCCCATGGAGTGGGGGTGGGGGTGGGGGAGAAAGGCAGGGTTGAGGGGGAGTGATGGGAACCTAGAAGCAGAGCTTCGCCGCTGGATCAGACCCAAACAACCCTCCTACTCCAGCCCCCTCCTTCCCAAAGGAAGCCAACCCGGGTTTGAAGGCCACCACTCTGTAAGTGGTTGTGCGGACAAAAATGGATATTCTGTCTTTGGAAATGGATTGATCGCAGCTCTCAGGGGCTTCTCCTCTTCCTCCATCTGGCTGCCTCCTCCAGTTTCTTCCCCCAGCTCAACTTTGGAAGCCCCCATGAACATAGGCAAGGGCTGGGGGGAAACCATGGACCCCGGTCACTCGGCCACGATGAATGGCCTCCCCTCCACCTGCTTTCAAGCCAGTAGGCAGAATCCTGTGCGTGCCATGCAACTTCCAGTCCCATCCTCACTGGTCAGCCGCGAGCAAGCTACCCTCCATCTGACCTGCCTTTCAGGGCTTCTGGGAGAGTAACAGGGAAGGAACTCGGGTGAATTCCAAACCGAGCTTTCTGGGTTAGAGTCGCAGGTATCGGAGAGGGAAGGATGGGCAAGGAAGATGGACTAATAGTTGTTAGAGAAATTTTGACGTCTTTTGACATTTTAGGCCCTGTCTTCCCCATCCAAGCTGCCTTGAAGGGTTGTGGATTACCGTTTCAGCCAGAGCCCTGCTCCTTCAAGGAAGGATGGGCATTGTAGTCTGACACATCTGGAGGGAGCTGGGTTGTAGAGGGCTTCCTTAGCCGTTCTAAGGCACAGCATTGAGCTGTAACTTAATGGCTGCAGGGAAAGGTGCAAAAAGGGGTGTTTGCTGGACTGTTGCGAATCTTTGCGGCTGAAAACAATTCACTCCTTTCTGTGCCGTTTCTGTTACTCTGTCGGAGACCCTCAGGAGAGCCGGCAGCTCCTCTTCCCTCATAAACATTCACGGTCGTAAGATGCAGAGGCAGGTGGCAGCCGAAATGGCTGTTGGCCAGATAATCCACAGCTCTTAGCCATCCTAGGTGCTTCTGAGTTTAGAAGCTCTTCTATCCCTAAATATAGGGACGTGGTGGCACTGCAAATTAAACCACAGAAGCCTCTGTGCTGCAAGGTCAGAAGACCAGCCATCGTAAGATTGAATCCACGCGATGGAGTGAGCTCCCGTTGCTTGTCCCAGCTCCTGCCAACCTAGCCGTTCGAAAGCATGTAAAAACGCGAGTAGATAAAGAGGTACCACCTCGGTGGGAAGGTCATGGCGTTCCGTGTCTATTTGTGTTGGCCACGTGACCACGGAAATGGTCTTTGTACAAAAACACTCACTCTACGGCTTGGAGACAGGGATGAGCACCGCGCCCTAGAGTTGGACACGACTGGACTAAATGTCAAGGGGAACCTTTACCTTTACCTATCCCTAAATATCTGATGGTAGCAGCAATGGGGTGGCCAAGAGCGAGTTAAGGCAGTTGACCTGCCTAGCAAGCAAGGGGATAGAGATTTGAAAGGGCTACTCTTTTGGGACTAAAACCTACCCACAATGGCCAGGGGATTCTGGGCGCTCTAACCCAAAAATGTAATTTCTGCTGACCACTGTGCTGGAGACTGGATGTTGGGTTAGCCAGACTTCAACATTTGATCCAGCCAGGTTCTGTTTATGTTCTTCGGTAAATAAAGCATCTTAAACCAGTAGTCCCCCAACCTTGGGTCCCGAGATGTTCTTGGACTACAGCTCCCAGAAGCCTTCCTCCCTAGCTGTGATGGCCAGGATTTCTGGGGGTGGTAGTCCAAGAACATCTGGGGACCCAAGGTCAGGAAGCCATTATCTAACTGAAAAAGGATCACTGGCCCTTTGAGTTTCATAAAATCCCTTCTGCTCAGTGTAAAGTAGCCAAAGCACAGCTTGGAAAAGTTAGTTTTTTGACCGCAGAAAGCCCACGGTAAAAGAGGGAATCTGATGGGTGGTGGTAATGGAGCCACGTGAAGTTAGCTTTCCAAGCCTTGATCCCACAGAGGGGAGAGGCGGGAATCTTTGTCCTCACCTCTGAACCAAAAAGCGGAGAAAGGAAGGGAATGGCAACCAACCCAAGGATCTCCCTCCTTCTCCTTCCTCTCCGACAACCAGGATCTCCACCTGGGCCAGATTCACTTGCCTGTCGGTGATCAGAGGCTTCAGAGGGGGAGACGTGGAGACGGACACAAATTCTCCATCATCCACACCCTCCTCGTCGCTTTCATTCTGCAGCAGCTCGGATTCCTCCTCATTGCCATCTCCACCATCTTTCTTCCTCCGGATGGGGGGCCTGGAGGGCCCGTCAATCTCATTGCCGTAGTTGCCTAGGAAAGGAGAAAAGGAGCCACAGGGGTGTTGGGGAAACCTGAACGCTGGAGGGTGGGGTGACGCTTCGGCAAACCCTACTCCGGGTGCCAAATTCTGGACAGCGCCACGCAGACGGCACACCCCTTTCACAGACGGGTCACCCCATCCTTTAAGGAAACGTTCCCTCCTCTCCACCTGGATACAAACCTATCGTGACCTCAAAGTTGATAGGCTTGTCTCCATTCTTCCGGTCAATCATGGTGGCCTCCAGGAAGGACCCAAAGAGAAAAAACTCCTCCATCTTGCCAGTGCAGTTCTGTAGGATGGAATACAAACCCAGAGGTTGCTGCAGCTCACAGGGGCATAGCACTACGCCGAGCTGTTACCACGAGCCCTTCTGGTTGACCTCCGTCTACCAGAGATGTTGGCAAGTCTGTTGACCCAAAAAACTAGTCCGAAGCCCTCTGAGAAACAAGATTCTTCCCCCCGCCCCCCAGAAAGAAGGGAAAGGTAAGCAGGTTCTGCGTCAAGAGTGGAGTCCGAGTTATTGAAAACAGCAAAAACCCTGAGTCGGGTCACTTGTGTGACTTAAATCTAACTTTACCGTGGGACCCATGGATCGCGTCCCCATCCTTGCCGTCTACCATGGATGTCACTAGTTTCTTTCCAAGGTGTCAGGAAAGGGAACACGCTTAGCTTGTCTCCGGAGCAACTTCCTTAACGTGGTAGTAGCATGAGACAAATGCACTCACACCCCACACAGAGAGGGGCAGTACTATCTAGCGCAAAATGCCTTCTCCAGCACTGAGACATAGGCCCCTCGAATATCCAAAAGCATCCATCTTGCCCCCCGTCTCTATCCGGGACTTGAAATGTTTAGATTTCTGTTAATTTCCAGAACCTCCCCATGGCCTCCAGGATTTTAAAAAAGTCACAGTGACCACACGCAGTTGAATCCAGAGCCTCCCAATCAGCATGGATGGGCAATGGAAAGTATTCAGGGCCATCAAAGCTCAAAAAACAACGATGGCCAGATTCCCATGGTTGACGTAAGCTTCCATGAGGAAATCCACTCAAGTCCCGGAAGCCACTTGCTGCTCCTTGACAAAGGGACCCGAAGCCTTCTTGGGGCCCAGGCACCTCCTTAACGAGTCGCCGTAACGGACCACCGAGACTGGCAAGACTTTCCTGACGCAAGCCAAGTCAGCAATAGAATTCAAGCAAGGAACCCCCATCCTAAGGGGGATTCCTTGGGATCTAAAAAAAGTCCTCTAAAAAAAGAAGTTTCTCCCAGGTCTGGGTATGGGAATGCAATTAGGGCGACATCTCCTCACCATTAGGTTTCCCATGGTCAAATCGTTATTTCAAGCACCAGCCTATTTATTTATTTATTTTAATCAATCCAGTTTGGTTCAGAACGGCATCCCTCTGTGAAGAAAATTAGTATCTTTTGCAGGGAAACCATAAGAAATGGTCCTATTAGGGGGAAGACAAAGCTTCCTTCAAGGTGGCAACAGAAGACCTGCAAACCCATGTTGGGAAGCTGTCCATCATAAATGTATATGCAATTATATGGCATGAGAAAATAATAAATGTAAATGAAGAAGCATTTATTTATTTGACCAGTCCCAATCAGACAAACTCAACTGGCTCAGAAAACTTCAGAGGGTTAGATTCCGAGTAAAAACTTTTAATGAAACAGCGAAGGATCAAGCTTTTTGACCCTATTTATTCTAATACAGTGGACCCCTGACTTACAGACGGCTTGACTTACAGACTTTTTGAGTTACAGACTTCTCTGGCCGCAAAATTTAGGTTTGACTTGCAGCCTGAGAATTGACTTACAGACCAGAAAAAAACCAAAATGGAACAAAAACGGCCTGTTACGGGATTAATCGGTTTTCAGTGCACTGTAGGTCAATGGAGACTTGACTTAGAGACTTTTTGACTTGAGAACCGCCTTCCAATACGGATTAAGTTCTCAAGTCAAGACCCCACTGTAAACACTATTTCAAGCTTTAGACAAGGAAAACGCATTTTGTCAACTTTAGGATTCCAAGTGGGCCTTTTTACTTGGAAGATCAACCTGGTGAAGTTTTGGAGCCAATTCAGTCTGCTTGACAGGGATTGGTCAACTTGTTCTATGATGCTCCAATTCATTCATTCATTCATTCATTCATTCATTCATTCATTTTAAAATATTTTTATCCCTCCCTTCTCCTTGAAAAGAACCCAAGGCAGCTTAAATTAATAAAAATATATATTTAAAAAGCTAAAACAGTAGCTTATTGAGTATACTAACCTACATTAACTAACCTACGTTAAGTCATGGGAGGGGTGATTCTACGCTCAAGCCCTTGAAAGTAACGATCCTGGGATCCATTTAGATTGGGGAAATGGGATATCGCAATGCTAAACTCCTGAGAATCCAGAGCCATGTCAAAAGTTTTTTTTGGCGAAGCTAAAAAAACCAAGAGTATAAATAAGTTAGATTTTGCCTTGTTTGGACTCAGATGAGACACACAGATTTTGTTGTTCACAGACAGGGGAAGAGAATCTTTGCCGGGAGGGCTAAGAATAATGTAATTTGATGCGACAGATTTAGAAGTGTGATGCTTTGCTGTGTTCTTCTTGCTTTTGTAATATCTAAAGAAACTAAAAAGATTTTAGTTTGTCATCTATTTAGTATTCTAAATAGATTTTGAGTCACTTTCTAAAGTGACTCATGTGAGAGGTTATGCATGTTCGTTTTTCGACGCAGAAGACCTTCAGATATTCCTCCGTGGAATCCGACCGCACAGGATACTTACGTCGGCGACAGGCGTGGCCATTTCGACTTGGACTTCCGTGGAACTGGTGAGTTCTGGGTTGCTGGTGTCCAGGATCTCCACCGCCAGGCTGAGGAGCAGGCGGGCCCGGAAGGAGACCCCCTCGCCGAGCCCCTCGTTCAAGTCCTGGTGCTCATCCATCAGGGTGTAATTGCGGGTGGAGCCGTACATGTTCACCCAGGCTGGGCCAAAGGTGGGCAGGTAACCTTGGAAGAATAACCAGAGCAGGGCGCTCGAAGACAAGTTCGTTTCAAAGACTCAAACGAGAAACGGTCACACAGTTCGTTTATAACTTCTTTTCCTACGGGTACCGGTTGAATTCCCCACCCCGCATTTTGGACTACAAATCCCATTGGCCATGCTGGCTTGGAGATTTGGAGAGTTACAGTCCAAAACAGAGCTAGGCACAAGCTGAACTACAGACTGAAAGAAACCACGAATGATGCTGGTTCGTCATTTAATTTGGGGATCCTGTTTTGCTGGAGGGGGGGGGACGAAACACCAATTCCCCCCCCACTCACCGCTTTGTGGTGTTTTTTTTAGCAAAATGGATTCGCTGCCCCCTTCCCGCTGTACCCCCCCCATCGCCTCCCTACTGGGTCCTGTTGTCTCCTCTCCTTGGTCCTCCTCCACCAACATCATCACCTGGGAGCGCAAATGCGCTGAGAACAGACCGTCTCTGGAAGGGATACCGGGCGTCTGTCTCTAAAGGCGGCCATGAAGAACGAAGAGCATCAGGTAGCAGGACCAGGGAGAGAGTCAATGGGGGGGGGCAGCGGGAAGGCGGCAGGCAGGTGGCCGAGGGGGTAGAGGCGTTAGGTTCCCCCTCCCGCTAGCACGACTCAGGGCAAAAATGGATCATGAACTGGTTCTTTTTCCCCAGGGTATTTATTTATTTATTGGATTTCTATCCTGCCCATCTAGACCCAAGGTCTACTCTGGTTGTTTTACAAATTTAAAACCAATAAGCCTATATTATAAATCCAAGGTGGCAAAAGTATAAGAAATTAAGATACAGTGGGAGGGAAAGCCTGCCCCAATAGCCAGGTTTTAAGTTTATTCCTGAAGCCATCCAGAGAGGGAGCCAGGTGGATCTCCACGGGCAAGTTGTTCCAGAGGCGAGGGGCCACCGCCGAGAAGGCCCGGTTCCTTGTTCTTTCCTTCCGGGCCTCCCTCAGTGTTAGGCCCCTCAGCCGCCCCGCCTGGCTGGAATGAGTGACTCCGGCAGAACTGGGGGGAGAAGGTGCTCTGCCAGCTATCGAGGTCTTAACCATTTAGGGATTTATATGTCATTGTTAGGACTTTGAAAATGATGCAGAAACAAATGGGCAGCCAATGCAAGGCGGCCAGCGTGGGGGGAAATCTGTTGCTACCTCTTCACCCCTTTAAGAAGTCTGGCCGCTGCATTTTGTACCATCTGGAGTTTCCGCATCAGTCTCAAAGGCAGCCCCACGTAGGGCGCATTGCAGTAGTCTAATCTTGAGGCTACGCGTGCAGTTCATGGGTAGCAACGAACCACAAACCAGCCTGATTTGTCCTTTTTTCCAGTTTGGAACACTGACTCAAACTCTCTTTTCTTATCCCTGGAAGTCACTGCGTCGGGTCCTGCCCTCTGGAGTTACGGAAAAACAAGCCAGGCCCATCGCCCATGTGGAAAACACTTCAGACACAGAAAGACGGCTCTCGTATCCTCTCTTTTCCACCCATTTCTATGGTTTCCTTTAACATCTGACAAGAGAACCACTGGGCATCCCAAGCTTTCTCTTTCGTATTGTTCCCGAACCTCTGCCAACGAAGGGGGACGACAGGGAAGGAGAAGGAGCCTTCACAGCATCCTTACAGACCCCACACGATGAAAAAGAATGTCCTTCCCTCTCTTCTGAGGTAACTCGAGGTAGGACTCAGCCACGACTCCAGCCCCCTCTCGCCTCACCTTTGTCCCCTTCGTTGGAGATCTTCCTCAAGTCGATAAAGTGGGTCCCGATGGCCACGTCGTTGACCTTGTCAGAGTCACGGATCTGGACCTTGATGCGCTTGCACAGCGGGGGGAACATCTCCGTGAAGACAATCTGCTCGTTCCACAAGGGCTCATAGCTGCTCTTCTGGACGGAGGTTTTACCCTGAGCAGATGATGCGAAAGCAGAATTCAGAAGACCAAGAAAGGCCCGGGTGGGACGCGACCTCCAAGTCCACCCAACTGGATGTTGGGGCTCCAGCCACGGAGGATTAGGAAGCCAACAAGCAGCTGCTGTATAATCACAGCCGCTGGTGATTTAGAGATATGCCTCCGAGCCCACCTTCCAGGATTCACGAATCCACCTACCTTCTGGCCTGCGAAGACGACCTGAACGTAGGGATCCACCAGATCTTTGTTCTCCCCAATGAGAGCCTTCTTCACGTTGGCCATGATGCTGGTGTTCATGCGTGGAAGGCCTTCCGCACGATAAATCTTGATATAGAAACGGGCCCACTGCCTCTCGGCAGGCACTCCGTCGGGGAGAAGCAAGTTCCTGCAAGATATAGGAGTGGAATGATGATGATGATGATAAGGGGGTGATTTCTTTTAGACACTCCTTCTCATCTCTAAACCAGTTCCCCCGCCATGTAGTGCCCCTGGGTATGTTAGATTACCGTATTTTTCGCTCCATAAGACGCACCAAATTTTAGGAGAAGAAAACAGGAAAATATAATCTGTTTTCTTCTCTCCATAAGATGCACAGACTTTCCGCCCCCCTGTTTTGTGGGGGAAAAGTGCGTCTTATGGTGTGAAAAATATGGTACATCTCCCCTCTCTCCCAGGAAGGAAAAAGGAACAAGACTATGCCAATAGGGCACAAATGGGGAGAAAACATGGCATGCGGTGGGGGAGGAGGTGAGGTCCTGCTGAAGATTTTGCAACCTCACATGCTGCCTTCAGTAGGTTTGGCTCATCAGTCTATCTAGCACTAAATAATCGTTACTTCTTCCTTGCCTCTGAATTCAAAGAGAGCCCTGACTCTCTGCTCTGTGCCTTATTGCACCTCAGCAGTCTGTTGGAAGTCATTGAGTTTGTTGAAGTCTGTTGTTGAAAGTCTTTCACATTTGCCAGTTTGCTGTTTAATCTGTTTAATAGTAAGTAAAATATACTTACTGGGAAGGGGAAAGAGAAAGAAAGGATGGAAGGAAGAAAGAGAGAGAGAGAGAATGAAAGAGAGAGAAAACGAATGAACGAAAGAACAAAAGAGAGAAAGAGCGAGAGCAAGGAGAAAAGAGCGAAAGAGAGAGAAAAGAATGAGAGATAAAACGAACAAACAAATGCACAAACGAATGCACAAAAGAACGAAGGAACGAACTAACGAACGAACGAAAGAAAGAAAGAAAGAAAGAAAGAAAGAAAGAAAGAAAGAGAGAAAGAAAATGACCCACCCGGATATAAAGAGCACCAAAGGCCGGGGTACATTTGATGTCTCCACACCAGGGTTGCCTCATTGCCAAACTGCACTTAAAGCCCTTCAGTCTAAACCCAGTGATCGGTCCCAAGTAGAGGAGATTTGTTCAAATGATTGGACTCCTATCAATCTTGACTAGAGAGGTCCCCATTAATTCCATGGGTCTCCTCTGCTTGGGGTGAAGCTGTGGGTTTTTTAGGCCTTTGTGCTTTGCCTCAAAAGTGAAGTCCAGAAGGACGGAGACTGAAAAACCAAAGAGGACAACACTGGTCGACCGAAGCAGAGGGTCCTCGTTGGCACCCAAGGGCCAAGTCAGCCAGGAAAAATCGGCCGGACCTTTGCCCACCCAGCTCATCCGGGGTCCGCCAACGCCAGCCTCATCCTACCGCCAGCTCTCCGTGCAAAGCGGACTCAAGATCAGATGGAGGGGAATTCGTTTATCTCGATCCAATGTGGAATGGCTTTGGAGGAATGAGTCTCTGCCTTCGCCTTCAGGCTGAGTTCCCGTTTTGTAACTTCAGCGGCTGCCTTCCCTCTTAGGAAGGAGGGAGCCATCCTCCTCTCTTCCTCACCCCTCGATGTCATCCTCGTCCGTCTCGTTGGCTTTGTGGGGCGTCTTGATGTTGTCCCCCTTGCCCACCACGGCGATGTCGACCTTCAGTTAGCCCTTCAGCCCCGCCGTGAGGTCCTCGGGATCGGACAAGATGGCCCACTTGTGGTGGAACTGGTGTTCTGCAGACAGAAGGGAAGAGGGTGGGAACAGTTCTCGGTTGGGACTACAGATTCCAGAATCCCCCACCCCACCTGGCAGGTGTAGTCCATCCAAGTCACCCACAAGCTCTGAAGATGAGGCAACCGGCTTGGCTGCCCATGCAGCTACATAAAGTGCCTTTAACCTTTAGATTTCATTATTCTGGGTGAAAAATCGACTGGGAAATGGGTTCTTTTCAGTTCTCTTTATTTGTTTCTGTTGGAGAGTTGTTGTTGTCCATCCAAGTCACCCACAAGCTCTGAAGATGAGGCAACCGGCTTGGCTGCCCATGCAGCTACATAAAGTGCCTTTAACCTTTAGATTTCATTATTCTGGGTGAAAAATCGACTGGGAAATGGGTTCTTTTCAGTTCTCTTTATTTGTTTCTGTTGGAGAGTTGTTGTTGTTGTTTTTGCAACCTCACATACTGCCTTTAGGAGGTTTGGCTGGGAGGGGTTTTTCTGGGCTGACTATCAATCAATCTAGCACTAACCAATCATTCCTTCCCTGCTTTGAATTCAAAGAGAGCCCCGCCTCTCTCTCCTCTTGGTCTCTTTCCCT